TGTTCCCGAGCGCTAGCTACAAGCGAAGACAAAGCTAGCGCGAGCCCAATGCTGTGCATTCCTAACTCGCGCACGGGCTCGTGCAGTGTGGGCACCGTTACAAGCTTCATGCGCGTGCTTGCAGCTTCGGCTGCGCTCGCACTGAAGCTGAAACGAAGTCTAGTTGAGTTGCACCAAACTCTGTATGTAGTGCTGGTAAAGCCTCACCGTCCTTTTCGGAGCACAAAGCACTGCGCGACTGCGGTGTATGCTCCGCGGGTGTCGCTTCTCTGCAGCGCGTCGGTGCATGCCAAGGAGCGCACTCAACGGGTTAACTCGCCATGATCCGATCGTGACTTCGCCAGCACATCGAAAATGAATCGTAATTTTTGAAGCGAATATCAGATACCGCAATATTTGAAGCTGCTGCCCGAAAGATAACTGTAATCTGAACTAAAGCATTCCACAACAGTGCGGGTCGTTAGATGCTGCTGCAGATACCTTTAAAGAAGTGCAGGCTGATAAAACTAAATATCCTGTACCATCAGAACTCAGTGTGACATATATAATTGTATTTTTTTTTATCTGATGAGCAGATAAACTTTATTTTTTTTTAAAAAAAAGTTTTTTTCTGTTTACTTTGTTGAATTTGATATATCCTGTCTTAAAAAGGCGACAGGCGCTGTGTTCCAACAGGGATGGGCTTTAATAGCAATGCAGCATTATTTCATTTTCAAGTAATATGCCAACATATGCCGGACCCTGCTCCAAAAGGGCCACTACCTGCTCCAAAACAGCATTTTGCCTGCTACAAGGCCTGCTCCAAAAGGTCAAATGGCACTTCCATCACTGCACCTGCCAAATTTGACTAAAAATAAACAGAAACATCCAATCCCTAGTTATGGTAAGCGGCTGCTATGTGGATGTTTTTTTTTTTTTTTTTTTATGTTCGACAGCTCAGCAAAGTTGCCGGATCTGGTTATGCCTCCTGTACGAGACGGATCACAAAGCGGTTCCTGACTGACCAGTTGGAGCAAAAAGTTTTGTGGGGAGGACGTGAAGGAAAGTTGACATTCAGGAATCTTCACCTTGCTGAGTGCATCATAAGTAAGTAATCTCTGGAAAAGTACTGCAGATTGCTTCACACATGGAATCAGATTTATGGAACTGTTGGTGGCATGCGTCTGTTGCTTTTTTTTTTTTTTTTTTTTTATCAGATGCAGTGCGGAGCTGCCATAAATGTGAAGACTTCAAAATAGAAACCATATTCATTAACTTCGCCACGCATCTGCCTGACATCAGTCATCTCAAAAGGTAAGCCGACGTCAGCACATAATTCTAACTTTTCTAAAACAGTAGAGTATGGTGCGCAATTTCTTCAAAGCATAATTTCTATGTGAGAGTATTTGAATGCTTTAAATGTTAAAGCCAGCAGTGATGTGATTGCTGCGCCAATTGCACCAAACAGTGCCAATGGGCTAACCCTGCTACATTTTGCCAAAATATGAGTAATTTGTGCCAAGCCTGCGCCCAATGACTAATTTCGGTCGCCTTTCAAAACTGAAACTAAACTAAGAACGTAATTGAGCATGCATGATCTAGGTGGCGCAAGCGGCCGCCCGACACAAAGTGCCCTGCCTCCATCCGGTCTCGCAATGTTTTTGCCGCCGTCTCCCATTTCGCGCCTCGTCGTCTCGCGAATCTCATCTCGCCTCTTTTTTAATCTTTTTCAACAATAGACGCGGGCGTGTGCGGACGCTCCGACGCTAGTGTGCCGGGTGCCAGACATGCCGTCATGCTGTGAAACAAAACCACGTTTTTGCGCGACAGGAGTTGCTTTGTGAGCTGAAACGCTGGTCGGGCGTTGCTGTCCCCACGTCGCTGCAGATATGGTGCTTTCTAAACTTCTTCATTGACATTCCTGTTCTTGTTTAAATCATACTCTACTACAAAAATTTCCCTTTAAAGGGATACAACAACCAAATTTAGACACTTATCTCCTGGTCTATTCGTGTTCAAGGGCTCCAAAGGCCACTTTTGCTGCTCCAAAACACTGTTTTGGCTGCTCCAAGGGGTGCTCGGGTTCGAGCCCCACCCCTGCCCGTTTCGATCTGGATGAGCATTGTACCGGCGTGCGGTCGTGTATCACTACTGCGTGGTGCGCGTTAAAAACCCCAGGCTAGCGGTTGTACTGCACTGGCTAAATTTCTCATCTACAGCTGGGAGACTCGTCGCCCCTGTGAGGCAGACCAAGTTCCCATTTTTTTTTTTTTTTTCAAGAGGTGCTCCAAAATGCTTAGGCCAATCACATCACTGAGCTAGTGACACCTCTTTTGGTTTAATTTGATATCAAATACTACACGTGTGAACAGCAATGAATAATACTATATTATATAATAGTACCTTATTATGGATTAAAAAGAATGCATAGAAAACGAATTTCACGAAAACTGTGATATTTGATGTAAATCTAACAAACAAAAGTTGGCAATACAGTACACACATCCAGCATGAATGTGCTTTAAAAAACAAGGCGTAAAATAATTGTGGTTTATTTACATCAGTTCCAATTCTTGCATATTTGAGTCATTTCACTTTGAACTTCACTGTTTTATTAGTTTTGCTTCAAAGCATGGTAAACCACTGCTCACATATTTTTAACATAACATTTTTTGTTGTTTTTTCAGGAACATTCTGCACCACAGGAGAGAGTGATGTGAACTGCCTTAAGTGGGCCTTGAATGCACTGAGCTTTTTATTATGTTTATCAGAATTTTTTTTAAGCAAAGTATCCTGCATTGTTCAGTAAGTATACTTTATTTTGAAAACCTTATGCTTTGTATGCAGCATTGTTCAAATATTATACTTTATTTTAAAAACATCAAGCACTGCTCGTATGCCTAACAGTAATAATAAAGAGTTAATGGCAATTTGTTTGGCACTGCGAATTTTTTTACAGAATGGATGTGCATGCCTGACAGGCTGGGCAGAAATTTAGTGCGCTACTCACAATCAAAGTTACGCTGCAAGACTGCAGCGGCATCTTTCGCCATGCAGTCGGTGCTATAGCTGTCATGAGATTCTGGTGTCCTTGTCACTAGAGCACATGTCCTCGCCTTAGACTTGAGTAAATTCCTCAGGGTCGTCTACATAGCATGTGACAATGTTTGTGTCCAGTATTTCACAGTTCTCTCGGATGTGGCGAGGTCCACCTCACTAAAACGAGTCAGCATCAGTAGTGTCGCCTTCCTTGTCAGTGTCGTCTGCATTGATCCTGTGGTAAAGCTTCTGAGCTTGATGGTGAAAAAAAAACTTCAATATAAAGAATGTCTGCTGCGGGCCTGATTGCTACATTATACATCTGTATTGTGCCATTTGGGTATACATTGAGAGCATGCATGGGCCATACAGCAAATCTGCCCTCTGAGCTCTTGTTTTGTAAAGAATTGGACTCTTATCCGTTTAAATTTTTCTGTAGGACAGTTTACACGCTATATGCTAGCATAAAATGAAGGCTGCTTAGGCACTTCCTTGCCCTCTTGGCATAGGGCTGGTCCCTATACCAGGAAAGGTAATATTTCTGAGGTATGTACATGGTACATCCACAGGATCAGGCTGAACATCCTACAGTGGTCCTGAATGTCCAGCTGCATCAACCAGATAGCGTTAGTGGTACGTTTTCCGGGGAACCATTTTGCACTGCAGAGTAGATACTTTCAATGTTAGATGAATCGTAGCAGATATCCACTGGATATGTTAAATGTCCGAACTACACAACTCTCGGATGGTTAATAGACGGTTGCTGGTTGACTGGGTACCATGAAACCAATGTGCACCGGGGCACCTGTTGCCAATTACTGCCATTGGTTTTCGCCCCCTAAATGCCATTAACCCAATGTGCACAGGGGTGTCTGTCGTCGATTGCCGCTTATTGGTTTTCGCCCCATAAATACAATCAATCCTATGTGCACAGGGGGGCCTGTTGCCAATAGCCGCTCATTACTTTTTTCCCCATCAATACCATCAACCCAATGTGCGCAGGAGCATCTGTTGCCAATCGCTGCTCATTGGTTTTTGCCTCATAAATTCCCTCAATGCAATGTGCACCGGGGTACCTGTTGCCAATTGCTGCTCATTGGTTTTTGTTTCATAAATGCCATCAGCCCAATGTGAATTCCCTAAAGGATTACCAATTGGTGCACATAGGTTTTTGTTTCAAAAATGCATATTGCTCAGAGTGTCTGGACCTACAGTTGCACATTGGTTCAATGTGAATTTTGGCCTAATTTCACTTCGCCCATTTCCAGCAGGGAGCGTAGCCGACACTGATTACACCAACAGACACCTTACCTATTAGGCACTTCACAATATTTGGAGCTGAACCGGTTCACACACCGCTATTCAAACCTCTTTATCTGACAGAGCTATAGCGACGGCGCGCTGTCAGCTGTCAATAAATTGTTGCCTTTTTTATCGGTGTACGATGTTTTGATTTTATGCTTGCGGCTTCATTAATTTATAGAATGGGTGATTACTAATTTCTGAGGAATTGGTAAATATGCCCAATGAACTTCAAGAATATTACAAAAAAGAGGACATATTTTTTAATGAAGTGACGAATGCGAATTGTATTATACTGCCACGTTTGACGCAGAATCAAGCTAAGCTAAAAAAAGATAGGCGAGCTTTTCTCCGCACTCGCTCAAAGGCCGGTGAGCTTTTCTCCGCATTTGCCGGTTTTGCGGTGAGCTTTTCTCCAGTGAACTTATCTCCGGTGAGCTTTTCTCCGGTGAGCTTTTCTCCGCCCCCCAAGAACGTTAGGGGGGATAGTGGCAGGCGGATAAGTGAAAGTATCTTCGCCACTTCCTCGCACCTTGTATTGCAAGCGTGGCACATAAACCACCACGGCACCCCGATCAAACAGCGCAAAACACTGAAATCTAGGCACACTGGAGTGTTACGAATACCGCTGTTCGTCGATCGAGCAGGAAACGACCCGAACAGTCAGTGAACGATAAATAGCAGTTTGGAAAACAGATTTTAATGCCCTTCTTTCATCCAGAATGTCTGCTTTGGAATAAAATAAATAATAAATAAGAGAGAATGTGCGAGCCCAAAACTTGAAACAACAGAAGAAATTGCATTCAAGAATGTGTATATAGTTATATAATATAATTTATATTTAATATCTTTATCATCTTTACCGGCATGGGTATATTGCTTTCCTTAAATAACCAAATAAAATAAAGACTAGCTCATACATATATTTTCAAAATGCATACTATGTGAATTGTAACATTTCTGCCAATCCATCATTTAAATATAGCTGGCACTGCCAATTTGTTAGATTCTGAAAAATCAAATTGATATCTTGCAACAAGAACAAAGCTTATTGAGTCTCGTGTTAACTGGAACAGAACATTACTGGCAGAATTGATTTTAGTTTAACTATATCCTCTCACTCCACCGAAAACCAACTATGCAGCATGAATGATATATTATTCAAAACTATGTATATCTCTTAAAATGTCTTCAAAGCTCATTATCACAGCTTATATAATGAACACATAGTCTATAAGCCAGCCTTGCATTCAATCAGGTTATAATGCACTTGTCTTGCAGCAGTAAAACAGCAGATATATTGCAGACTTTTGGTGCTGAACCTGAAAACAAGGTAATACATTCTAAACATTGTCATTTTACAATGGCATGTGCATTTTGTGCTAACTTTTGGATTGAGTTATAAACTGACCCCGATTCAAGCGGTTTATTACCCTTCTATGAACTCTGAATTATCAAAATGATTGACTCTTGCTATCCTAAAAACCCCATTGAGATAGTGTTGTTATATGTTAGTGATAAACACTAATGTGTGCAATTGTGAAACTAACAAAGAAATAATGCTGATTTTACCAAATGGTCATTAATGGTTAGCCATGCAGCAGCCATTCCCTAATGTATTCTATTCCCATCCACTTCCTGAAACTTTCCAAGTGGGATCACTGTATCTGTCCTTATTACCAAGAGCTGAAGTGCTTCTTGGGGCGACGCACTCAATTTCACCATTCTACAACATAAAGAAAAAAGAAAATAAACTTAACGTTTGAAATTCAGTTGAACGCAGCATACACTGCTACCCGTTTTGTACACAATTTTTCTTCTCAAGTCGGTGATAGGCTCAGAATTCAGAAGCTCCGACTTCAGCGTGCGCTCGTCACCTTACTCGCTGGGTTTCCCCTGCGTTACCAAAGGCAGGAAGCCGATGCTGGGGGCGGACCATCTGCCAAATTTTGTAGCCTGTCACCCACCGTGGTCACATTCAGAAACCTGGCTCTTTCACAGCGACGTTGCATGCGCGGCTGCTGTGTTCCACTTGTCTCGAGCATGCTCCAACAACGTCGACAAATAAATAAACCTAAAACTCAACCCAGCAAAAAAATTTTTAAATAAACCCGTTTAACAGCAATATTATTAGCAAAAAAAACCAAAAAGAATGGCGAAATAATTTTTTCTTAAAAGTATCGTAGCAACAACAACAGTATAGTCACTGACAGGAGACTCGGGGCACGAAAAATTATGTTCCCACTTTGCGTTTGAAGGTTTGCTCTTCCGAGTTCTTCTCAGCTGATGCTGCAATCTGATTGAGTGAAAACAAGTTGTAGCGTATCTCAAGTTCTGAATGACTATGGGAGAAAACAGAAAAAAAACATTGATTAGGCGTGGTAGTGGCAATTTGGACCTCGTAAGACTGACACCGGAGGCACTCGTGTCAAAGCTCGTCTGAAAGACGAGCCCGGGCTCCATGCTTGAGGGCGGATTCGTGCGGCGTCCCAGCGTCCCCCCTAGTGCCCCCCGGTGGCATGGTGCTTCGTCGCCGCTGCGGGGCTGCTCTGCGCAGGACGTGGCTGGCAAACTCCATGTCGCGCTCGCGGTACTTGGGGTCCAGGGTGAACCACAGCGCCAGGGCACAGCGGCGGCCCCTCTCCACGGGAAGCACTCCGTGGAGGTTCTCCGGGCCGGCCGAGAAGGCCACCATGCGGCCGCACTTCGGCGAGACCCTGGCCTGCAGGTGGGAATGCGAGGGTTAATTGGCAACCGAAACCGGTGCCAATGTCTTTTTCTGTCGGTTTTGTTCTTTAGTCTCGGCAAAAAGGTGAGGTTTCCCGGGAGGTATTCTTCCAAACACTGTCGCAACAGTGTCTTACTTGCCCGCATCTTCTCTGCACTGCTAATTTCTAACTCCAAACTTTCAAATTTTGTTTTTCGGTGAAACCCTGAACTTTTGCCAAAGAGAAGACCCACCCATAAACAACAAAATGTAGAAGAGGTTCATACCTCGATGGCATCCTGACTTCTCCCAAAGACGAAGTCTCCGCCCTTGAAGTCGTCGTTCAGGTACAGCACAGCACTGGATGGGCATTGGCAAAAACACAGCAGGGTGATAAGGAAATATTTAATTCTTTCAGGTTTTCAAACACTGTGTTCATTCATGTACTAGTGGAGGGACATTCAATCCTCCTTGTCTCACATCTTTTATCTAACTGGTTCAATAAAGATAAATCTTTTACTTTTGCTAAAGGAAAAAGCAACATGAATATGAGGGCGCATATTACAAGCACTCCCCCATAATACAGCAATGACCGTACTTTCTAAAATGAACTACATATATTTCAAGAAGGTCTAAACATCAAAGAATGCAGATGTATGAGAAATGAACAAGCAGCAGGGTGAAAAAATAATTTTATTTAAATCATGATTTAAATTACAATTTTAAGTCATCTAGATTTTTCCCTATCCTACAAGGTGTCTGTGTTAGCTGCTAAAAAAAAACTCTCCCCCCCCCCCCTTTTCCACAAAAAAACCACAAAAAAACAGAAATGTTTTTACCTACATTTTGGAGTCTATTTCATGAAATAAATGATAAATAAATGGTAAGCACATACCAATGGATGAAATACATTGATTAAAATAAACATCAAAAATACAACTAGAAACAAACTTTTTTGCCGTGGAAAATAAAACATACAGGTGAGTTCCAGGCTCTCAGTTTTACTGCCCATTAAATTTAGCAGTATACACTAGTGCTTATTTTAAAGGTGAAATGGGAAGAATGTGGGAGGAAGAAAATTCAACTATTGATTTGTATTAGGATTGTGCGAATATGAGAATAGTAGTTTCTAATAATGCGGTCTTCGATATTCGCTTCAAAATAAACTGCGACATTATTATTATTGTTTTCAAGTGTTCATTGCGGTGGGTTAGCCCCGTTGAGCTCGCTTTTCGCCGAGCACCGGTGCACTGCGGAAAAGCAACACCCGCGAAAGCGGGCTCTACGGGTGTTGCTTCTCCGTATTGCATCGATGCTCAGTAAAGAAACGCGCTCAACGAGACTAACTTTCAGCGATTAATACTTCGAGAATTACGAATATTGCAGTCACGTGCTTTAGAGAAAAGCACACTTTCAACGCGGGATCGTGCACAAGCACGCCTATTGTATTCAAAAGGAAACGGGAACTTGGTGAATGTTGATATCCATACGTTGCATTAATTTTTTCAAAAATAAACTGCAGTTATTGTGCAAGAGTATATGTTAAGCAAGACGTTTTGACAACCTGCGTTCATAATTCGTAATTTTTATATATATATATATTTTTTTTTTTTTTTTCAAGTTCGAGAATGGAGAAAGAATGTTTGTGTATAGCAAGGCTAGTTATAAATTCCCTCGATTAGGTGCAGCTGGGCACCTCTCTGTCATTTGGTTACCACCCCGGCATTGAATCTTCCGAGGACAGTCTATAAATATAGTGAAAAGGGTAAGTGGAAACTTGGAAACAGCCCTCAAAAGTTCCCGTGAAAGGCTTGCAGAAACTATTCAATATTTCATTCGAAAATATTCAACCAAAACCAGTAATCGCCTCGAGCTCAAAATCCTATATTCGCACGTGCCTTTCGATATATATAGCAGATGCAAAATTTACATTTCGAGATTTGCCTTCAGCAATGAAGAAGCCACTAACCTGTAGTCCCTCCAAATGGGTGCTGGACGCTGTTTGATGCAGTCTCCATTGGGCTGCAGGAGGCAGTTGTCCGCATGCACAGCATGGCTCATGTCGTTGCGAGGCCCTTCCTTTTCAACTGACCCAAACAAAATAAACAAGCAAATTCCTTCAGAACAAGTAAGAGACAAATGAAAACCCAGAAATGTATATACTGCAGGCCTTGTAAAGAATAATGCACATACTAAGGAATGCTGGGCACATATTTATGTGTAAGTTATAATTATTAAAACCTGCGTAAGTTGTAATTATTCAAACCTAGTAAAATAGCAGTGCTTAAATTGAACAAGTTTTAGTTAGGGCAGGGGGAGCTGATGAAACTTTGGAACTAGGGGGACACTTTGAGGGTGCATAGAAAAAACCCTACAAAGTCAAACTGAAAAAACAAAAACTTTCAGCCTTTCCACTCTGGTGAAGAAGGAAGACCAGCGGAGCTGTACAATGGAAAGTAATGGCCGCCCGCAAGTTGGCTAGCCAGGGTGGAAAGGCTGCCGCCATCTATGAGCGAAGGGTGCAACCAGATACCTGGCTTGCCGCCGTCGCTCATAGATGGCGGTAGGTGTCCAGAGTTTGGTGAAAAAGAAACAAGACATAACATTAATCATAGGAAACAGCGCAAAAAACAGATGAGGACGTAGAACAAACACATGGGACGAGCACTGTTTCCTACAATGAATTCCCACTTACTCGCCCAACTATCCATTCTTATAACATTAATTTTATTTAGTGGCCTCAAAGGCATCCAGTAAATGCTTGCATAAAAGCAAAGAGACAGATAGCAAGTTGTTATATATAGCAATACAACAATGTCAAGGCACACAAAGAGTCTAAGCTCAAAATAAATAGACACAATTTCAGTAGCTCAAACAATACCCATCAACGAGCATAACAGAATAAAAAAAAACTTTGCTCCCCTCCATCACGTAGAGTACATCAATTCAACTGCTGCCATTCTCTCGAAGCACTTGAGGTGTAGGCATAATATACATATCAGTTTTACTAAGCAACTGGGCTTGATGGATGATGACATGACTGCACTGTAGCAGCTAGAGCGGGACACATATATTGTCAATATAATTTGAGCATTGTACTAGATGCTGACTGCTTTCCGGACAATGTGGCACAGCACCTGTTAAAGTAATCAGTATAAAGACAACACGACAAGAGACAATCAAAGTGCACACATCTGTTTATGCAACAACGACTTCTGTCGCTCCACGAAGCAAGGTCCAAACAACGAACATGACGACGATGGAGACAACAATGGGTCGGGGGAACAACGGCAGCTCACCTGTCATGGCCGTTCGACAGACGAGGTGCGTGTAGGAGAAGTGGAGCCGAGAACGCAGGGCAAAGTAGGTTTCCACATAGTTACGAGCTTGCTCGCTCGTGTCTAGGAGTAGCCTCGCTAGCCCGTCGTCCACGACACCTTTCCTTGTCAGCTGTTGCAAAAAAGTCACATCCAAAGTTATACAAATCACTTTTTTGGATTGTGTCACACACTGCGCAGCATTTTCCAAAAACAAAATATTGTCTGGCGAACTTACGACAGCGATGCTGCCAAGCGTGATCCCATTGAACGTCTCAAACCGAGAGTGAGGAGACTGCTTCCCATCGTAGCCATCCCCAGCCACTGCTACCTCCTAGGTAAAGAAAGATGTGATGTATGGATGAACACATTTGTTGTTCTGCTCCTAAGTACACCTAAAAAAACACTTCCTAGCATATTCAAATGCATGTACATATACCTATACACAAGATTGCTTTCACGAATAATCAAGGAGAGAGAAAGAGAGGAAGCAAATGATGTAGAGAAAGATTCCTCAGTAAATCAGGACCAATTATAAAATAAAAAATGCTACAAGCTGATAACCGGTACTAGTGACTCAATTTTTGCAAGGACCTTATAATTTTCACATCCTGAAAAAAGATTGTTAAAAATTGATTGCACGAATATATCACCAAATAGTAAAGGTTTCATAGCATATCACTACCAATAGCGAAATTTTGCAGCCACAAAACATTTCCAAAAGCCACACTTTGAAAAATTTGCAAAACATGACTTGTAAAAATAAGGTAATTTACAGTGAGTTCAATGTCCAAGTCACGAGCAATTTACAAGTTACTAAAGAAATTGAAGGACAAATTCAAGTTTGCACAAATACATGCACAAAAAAATATAATGGAGAAACGACCAGTAACCATTGCTGCAAGGCAGTAAGTTTGTTTGCTTTGTGAACCTGGCATATATATATTCACCAAGTATGCTTGATAAGCTTCAGATACGACATAAAGTGTTGCACCAGAAATGAAATAAAGAACAATATTCTAACCTACCGTAAAGTACCAATCAAGCGCCCACTAAAAATTTGGAGATAATCGCAAGAAAGTGGGGATGGGCACTTGTTAGGTCACAAATTTTATCTGTATGTGTACTGCGCATATTTTTTCAGATGTTACAACGTTGAGGGATGGGCTCTTAGTGTGAAATGGGCGGCTGCTTTGCATTTTACGGTAGATGTAGCTTTCACCTAATAAGGCGTCCAATCAATCTTTTTGCAAAGATTCTTTGACTAGCGTTTCTAAATACAGCTGAACCTCAATTTAACGAAACCCGATTTTACGAGTTTCCCGATTTAACGAACAACTTCAGTTTCCCCGCGCAGCCTATCCCGAAGAATGTCTTTCTCGACTTTACGAAGTTCCCGATTTAACGAAGTAATTAGGGGGTCCCGGTGACTTCGCTAAATCGAGGTTCAACTGTACCGCCATACTCGTTTGCAAATGCAGTTTTTGTGCGTAGCTTGTCTGATAGTCAAGCGATTGCTAAGATATGCTCACGGTTGCCATACTGGTGCCCCAACAAAGTGCTTTTTACCCACGGCCAGACAGCCTTTCGAAGTGCACCTGCTTGAAAACGTGTATATATAACTCTCGCATTCACGTATGCCCTGTAGATGCCAGGGTGACTTGGTGGTCCATAGACTCACGTACCGCGGCCAGCTCGACCAAGGAATTGCACTGGTCCTCCGTCAGGAAACCCTCAGCCACAAACCGAGAACCGTTGAGCGACCTTTCATCTTCAACTACAGTTAAGTTCCTCCTTGGTGGACTCTCCGTCGTCGAGACTTCTCTGGGGGTAGGCCTCTGGTGACAATAGCACAGATAATTAAAAAAAAAAAGTATCGGCACTGTGAAAACACTGTTTTGAAGGGCAACTCCAAATAATGTGTCATTGCACATTAAAAAGCACTAATAAAAGGCACTAGGTCATTTGCTTCGCCAAAATTGGGATATATATATATATATTGAGAAATCTCACATTAAACATGCGGAGAAATCAAAACCAGAACTTCGACTCCGTTTAGCAACATTGGCCTCGGGCCAATGTTGGCTATCACTTGGTACGAGATGCCACGTGATCCACTGCACAAGGACGGGAGGGGATTAGGGCGGGCCGGCAGGCCACTGTCCTGGCGGGCGTGTGCCAGGCGCAAGTCTCGTCTGCAACACACTCTTTGATGACGTCTGCACAACTGTGGCATCAGTCTGCACACCAGGGGCGTAGTTAGGGGGGGGGGGGGGGGGGGGGGGGGGAGTGCTCATGGGGCTTGAGCACCCCCCTGATATCCGGTCGACCCTATAATATACAAATGCATTTTGACCCCCACCCCCTCTCGACACCCCTAGTCATGGACATCCTAGCCACCTCAGCCCACCCCCCCTCCCTCCTCAAAAATATACCTGGCTATGCCACTGCTGCGCAAGTAGTGTGAACGTAACTCTGAGAGAATATAATTGCAAACATTGAGACGACATCGGCCGTTGTGACGTGAGAGACGGCCGGTGGGACAAACTCCCAAGTAGTGCACTGCGCAGGCGCGTTACGCCAATCAAGTAAACACTGCCGAGCGGAAACGTTGCTGACGTCACCCATTACACTTGCTTGGAGAGGTAAAACCAAACAAAAAGGGGCAATGGTGATGACGTTTAGCTCGATGCTGACTATGCCAACGCCGTAGCCTTGACTGCACTCTTGATTGCACCTCAATTCGCCTGCTAAAGTCAGCCAACTGCGGCAACTTGGCGCGTTGCAAAGTTTGCCAGACCGTTTAAGAAACATTTACAGGGGTGGAACTAATGAAATGTACTTGGGAGCAGCCACGGGAGCAGCTGAAACAGATGTTTTGGAGCAGGTTGGGAACAGCTAAAACTACGTTCTGGAGCAGGCTAGGAGCAGCTCAGATCAGTTTTCATTGCACTTAAGCTTGTGTCTTAGACAAGCACGGAAGCAATTCAATGGTGCTTAGCAGCACAGATAAACATGAGTCAGTGTAACAGTTCCGAAAACTTGAAACTTTGTGAGCCTTAATGAGAATCAAAAAGCAAGTACCCTATATTTCTGAAGATAGCATCCTTGACATTTTCTGAGTGGCTTTCAGATGCTCAAGATGCAAACCAGCACTGCTTATTGCACAACCCACACGTGCTCGACATAGTAATTATACATGCGAACCACGTGACATGCGTAAGCAACGGACGTGCAGTTGCACGGAGGAACAGGGCAACAAATTTCGAGTTTATCCTATTGTGCAACTCGATATCGAAGCAGCAGACTACGATTAACAAAGTTATCGTATTTGAAGCGATAAGCAGGACCAAAGTTAATGTACGCCGAGCAGATCTACCGCTCGCGTAAGAGCTGCTGGCCGGCAAGGTTTAGGATCGGACCGCGTTTCCGTTCTATCACGATTTATCTTGCGAGAATGCGGTTCCAACTTCTAACGATGAAGTACTAAGAGGAATATTTTGCTCATTTGCTTTCAACTGGATGACGTTTGGATCCCGGGCCGCAGAGCCTCAGGCAATCTTAACAACTCGACCTCACCTCGGCCGACTTGCTTAACCGCTTATGGTTGAAGAATAACAATCCAGTCGCAGGTGGTGTAGCGGTGTAGCGCTTAGAATCTGAGTTTTTTCGCGCGCTTCCGACTCGGGATACACAGGGTGAATAAACAGAACAAAGGATTGCAATGCCGACCAGGCTAAACGGCCTCATTGTTGCCAATCGAGTCGATAAAAAACCAAAACCAAGACAAAATAAAAAGTTTTTTGGCGCACGTTTTACGATTTGGCGCATAATGGCGCGAGGTATTGGCTGTGGCGCAGTTTCTGCAACATGGCGCAGGATGGCGCAGACATATTCGTCTGGCGCAAAATGGCGCAAATGGCGCAGCCGTTCCACCCGATTTAGAGTGAACTAGGTTGTAATATTTTATGTGTAGTCTTCCTGAGTCATACTAAAGAAGACCACATTTTCTTTTTTCAAAAACAAAAATGAAGTGGAGTTATTCTTTAATTAATCGAGGTGATATGGAGAGTCTGACCCTGCAGTCTTCACAAGGCAACAGTGGTAGCTAGTGATGGGACGAATCTTTATCCGAATCGAGATTCGGAGCCGAATCTGAAGATTCGGAAAGATTCGGAAAAGTAGCCGGATCTCAAGCGATTCGGAAAAGTTCGGAAAGATTCGGAGCGTTGTCATGGCTGCCAAATCACGTTGATGTATTTTTCAACTTTTCGTGATATTAAATTCACTAAATTCTACGAAGTGTACAAAATAATATTGTAATATCATATCACAGTAATAAATAGAATGTTCCGCTTTGTTTATATTATTTCGGATGTTTATCGAGAACGGTAGCCAGAAATCGCAGGAAAATTGGTTTCGGTTCCGGATTACGACCCAAGTAGGCATGCTTGGTGCACGTGGAAATACAAGCGCATGTTTTCATCGCCGCAAGAGATCGATGCCGTACGTGCTGTTCGGTACAGACACATTTCGTGCCCATATTTACTGTCATAGTAGCACACACCACACAAGTGAGTATGTTCGATTTGATTATCTCCAACGAGTGTCCACTGAGGTATTGTTATCGGAACATGGGAAACAATCTGAAACTACTGGTTAATGCTATCCGATTTAGTTAGTGTTTGTTTCCGAACAACGAAGTTCCGTTGGACACCCCCGTGTTGTGTTACTTTTTCATCAAATAAAGTTCACGTACACGGAACTTGCTGCCGAGGACGGAGAAACGACAGAGCGACGTTTTTTTCTTTTTTTTTTTGCACAGGTGCCGGTATGCGGTCGAAGTTGTGACGAGCAACATTCACCTCGCTCTCGCGCCTTACGGGTACGGGCATACGCAGCTCTAGAGAAGGAGACGAATCATTTCCTTGCCTGGATATATATTTATTGTGCGTTGCGCCACATTACGTATAATACACAGCGTTTCGCTACATTTTACCGATCACCGCGAAACCGCAAAGCGAGACCGTGCATTGGTTAGGCCTACGTCAACCACACCGATCAGCTCAGCTGGACCTGGGCGCGTGCCAGGGTTTAGAACGACAGTACAGTACAGTATGTTGAAATAAACAAGACGAAATCTGGTTATATGCAGTAACAGTACCCAAGAAAAGCAGAACTGGCCGCATTCGCGAGGTTTACGACAAGGTTCACTCTGCCGCCTGCAACCAGCGACGAATCTCCGAATCTGCCGAATATTCGTCGCGGGAAGTTCGGAAATTTCCAAATCTGTCCGAATCCGAATCTTTGGTGATTCGTCCCATCACTAGTGGTAGCATCGGAGATCAAATTTCAAATGCAGACCAACAACTTTTTGTTCCATGAAATAATTAAACGGGTGACAAACCAGTCGCATGTCAGAGGTACCACTAGTGAAAACGAAAGAGAAGTCTGTGTTATGAATTTGTTTCACACAGTCGCATGCTTTTCCCTAAGTACGAGCAAAATGTTTATTAGGCAAGTACTCACCTCATTTATTCTGAGCTCCAGTCTCCTTAAAAGATCCTGTTCCCTCTGCTGATGCTCCAAGTATTCAACCACTTCCTGTAAAATATAGTAATTAACAGGCACCACTGCAGACAAATATCTTCAGTTTATGCCCACAACTGATGGCCGATCATCCATGGCCCAATTCACTACTGCAAAAGCTGAGGTGGGCGTTTATTACTTCGGCTGAAGTGGACTTTACTGCCGTTTCATAAATAATCCGACTATTTCCTTATTTTCTTTACTTCATAGGAAACAAATTTGCCGTTAAGAAATTCGTTCACCTTTCTTGCTTTGAACCAGGCCTCTTCAACGTTAGGCAGTTGTGCATAGAATGCCTGGTTATGCCACATGTCCGCATCATCTGGGACCAGCAGCAGGAACGACTGGTTGGCCTCGCACGCCCTGGGCAAGTTTTGTGCTGCGATAAATTAATTAACCACTTAACTGACCAGTGGACAAATAAAAAAATCAATACGCTGATTTTGTTGTTTTTTTTGCATTATAACCAACTTACAATGATAGTAGCAAAACTGCAGGTGTTGATAGAGGCTGGCAAAGAAGTTCCGGTACCGCCGTCCATTAAAGTAGGACAGCTGGTTGGTGCACTGAGACTTGCATTTGAGCGCTGACACCAGATGGTCTGAAAAGTAAGATGTATAATTCAACAATAAATTTTTCTCTACATGCCAGATTTTGCAATAAAAAATGAGCCCCAATGAAATTCAAATTTCATCGTGCTCCTAAACAACAGTTTTCTCAATAGTGCCGATCACAAGTTATTGCCGTCTGTAATGTCTCCACTGCCAAGAGTAAAGTTCTCTTTTGGCAATATGTAATGATTCTTTGCAGGCTCGCAATAGTTATGAAGTAAATACACTATATTACCAAGGAAGTCGTAGACATTGTAAAAGAAAGAAAAAAAACAAGCACAATTGTAATATCAAAATGATATGAAGCTGCAATATGTTGAAAAGGACCATCCAGTGTCCTGCCAAAAATTTCTAATTGCAGTCCCTTTTAAAAACCAAAAAAATGGTTATGTTCATCAATGCCTGAAGAGTGGAGCACATATACATACACACCATAAATATGTTTGACCTCTTTGCAAGACAATGCACATGGCAAAAAGAGATGTGAAGACATAACCCGAGCACACATTCACAAATAAATCTCCATCCCTTACCTGTAGCCACGGCAGGAAAGTCTCTAGTCCAGATTCGTTGAGGGCTGAAGTCTCCGCAGAGGATCTTGCAATCTTCTTCAGCCTCCAGGTAGCTCTCAATCACCTCCTCAACCACTCTGCACTCCTCTGCATACTCGCTTCGTTGATGGAGACCAATGGCTCGAATGTAAAGCTCCTGGAACGGTTCAGACGTCACAACAGAGTCTGTCAGGACCTTTGAAAAGATATGTGCAATGTTTTTATTTTTTATTTATTTATTTATTTATTTATTTACAGATACTACTGCCTTCTCAAGGAGGGCGTTGTAGGACGGGCTTCTAAACAATGACTGAAACGTACAATATGGGACAAGGCCAGTGCAACGAACATATTAAAGAGCAGAAACCGTGAAACCGACAACCGAAATACTGCACAACAATGAAACGAAACAGTGAGCATCATTACACTTTGCCATGTACATTTTAGCGTTTACGCTAGAAAGCGAACAAGACATTGAACGATGTTATATACACAAACGACCAACACAACTTAGTTCGAGATATATAGCTGCCAAACTATTTCAGGAGCAGTGCATTGAAAAATTGGCTAACAGACAGCAGTCACAACAAAATCAAAACAATAAGCAATAAGTAGCCTCGAAGTACTGGAGAGATTTCTGGGCAGGGAGGAGCGTGTGTGTGTGTACAGACCTGGTACTTCTTTTGGTCCAACGAGACAATATCCTTTGGGTCGTTTCCGGGGGTGGCCACATATCTTTCCAGGTAGGACGTCATCAGCACGTGGTCAGGATTGTACTCCAGGAATGTGTACGCGCAAGAAGCAGCCTTCTTTGCATCACCGAGCTGTAAGCAATAGTGATTGATGAACAGCATTTTCAACATAGTGGCGAAATAATATTTGCAGTCAATATTAATAAATATATATCACACACACATAATGGGGCCCTACAGGAATCACATTAACAGTACAGTTGGGAATCCGCGTGAGGTTGTTTTTTTTCTTCAATGGAAACCACGCTTGGCAAATTTTTCTAAAAGTTTATATGCCACTGCGATTTGTCAATGGTACATTTGTGTAACCTCAGTATTTTTTAATGAGCATTTAAAATCACATTGTCGTTGATATATGCTTGGGCAGATCGAGATAATAATACAAGGTATTATATCAATAAAGTATCATATTACTGTACCATAGTATCATATAGTAAGTATTTGTATCATATTAATAAAAGACGTGCTGGGACTGGGCAATTAAGAAATAAACGAGAGTAAAAATCGTTATATTCTTTTTTGTATGCATTAATTGGCAGTTGCTACTCCTGGCTATTCTCTGAAGCGGACGCATTCGTCACGATTTTAATTAATCATGACGGAATGGCCGGAATTAATTTAATTAGCGTGCAAGGCCAACAGGGGCGATTTACAAGCAACGGCGGAGCACACACAAGAAAAGACGCATATCATACCTTTGAGTAGCATTTCTGAAGATAATAGAACGGAATCCTCTCTCCGAAAGCCCGCCGCGTATCTTCCGAAACTGAAACTAGCTGCCACTCCCGCAAGCAGTTTTGGAGGCAGGCAGCCTCGTCCGCGAGCGCTTCGTACACCTTAAATTTGGTGCAATCGGCGACCAGAACACTGTTCGCAGTACCGCAAAGCCTTCGGCACTTGACGGTGACATCGATATGTTGCGCGTAGATCGCGACGGCGTTTTCCAAGATTCGCACGCAATGCTCCCACCGTTTGTCCAGGTACGCTTCAACACCTGACGCAAACAGCTCTTCGTAGTCCAAGATCTCGCTTTTCGAGCACACATCGGTTACAAGACACGCTGCAACGGCTAAGAACGCTAAACTACTCACACGGTTCATAATATGTTTACACCTGCGATTACTGGGTTATTTTTTTTTGCCGGATACAGGCAATAATCTTCGATCAGCCACTGCCGCCGCTGCCGCCGGCAACGCCTCGCACGTTTCACAGATGGCGCCACGAGCGATTTCGTCTGCTAGAGGTTCTGTTGTCTGCTGCGGCGTTATGCAAACGCGAGAGCCGTGTCAATATACGCAAAACAGGTCAAATTGCACGCAGCAAATCCGAATGACGTCGGGGAAAGATCTAGACTGCTTGGAGGCGGCCGCCCGCCGCAATGCCAAGGGCACGGGATCCACCCGAGCCGAGACGTCGAAATTTGCGCAATGTGCGCGATAGCCTATCTGTGGCCCGCGAAAAACGAAACGCATGAATCTGAACGCTTGCCAAAGAAAGCGTAGTTCAAGGGCAAGGGCAGGTCCCTTTGTTGCTTCGGCAACGAAAGTCCAAACTTGCTGGCAAAATGGGGGCCCGCTGGGTGGGGGCCCGCTTGGTGGGACAAGAATAAAGTCTGCGCTGTTTTTCTTTTTGAGCATGCGATTTAACGCGCCATTGTTAGTGCGCATCGCAGCTTTTAGAAATGAACGTCTGCTTTCCGGGAAGCAACATTCAAGGTCCAGACGCCAAATACGAAATGCTTAACGCTTCTTTTATTGAATATATTTTCCGCATCTTAGACATAAAGAAGAAATTGTACAAATAAATATAAACGTTCGTCACACGCAGACACGAAAATGCAACACTGGTTGATTCGGGCCTTCACTACACCCAACGACAAACTCCAACCCTTCAATTTTTTTTTCTTTTCCAAGATATATGTTTGTGAGTTGTTTCGATGATGCACGTGAAAGTTCGCGCAGCTTGTGTGCACGAAAACATTAGTCACGGCTGCATTTGTAACCGTTATCTTGTGAAATCTTGCGTGCATTCGATGAAAGGCAACAACAGTGCGACAAGAGACTAATAAATTATTATCTTTACAGATTCATTCTTTTCTCCAAGTCTCGCAGGGCTAAATTAAAACCTCTCTTTTAAAAAGAATCTGAGAGGGTAGGCTAATGAATGACACCGTCCCTTTCAAAGTCTTGGGGTGTAGTCAAATTAGTTGCAAACTATATGGAACAAGGAAAGTAATTGTCCAATGTCACTAGAACTGGCAGCTTTGGTATTAAATACATTTAATCTGCAATCTGACCACAGTGGACAGGAGAGGGTTGTAAACATGGTGGTCTCTGTGATGTGACCATGTGGGTAAGGCGACACAGACTCCCGTGAAGCTTACACGTGTGCACTATGTTAAACAGGCACAGAATGGTTTCACAAAGACTATCTTCCAGCAATGCAACATCAAGCTACGAACTGTGAAACTATGCTCAAGAAATTGAGCATTACTATAGTCACAGGTGTCACTGTCTATATTCAAACACACACTTAGCGAACAAAGTGTTTGTTTCCCTCCACTGCTGCTGTAGAAACATGCACACATACAGAAAAGGCAGTCTTTGTGTGCAGAAATCACCCATTTCGGCTGCAGCAATGGAGAATACAAGCTTGCGTGTCTGTTTAGATGATGCTCGGATTAGAAAATTGGGCATTTGGTTGCTCTGCTGCGTCCATCAACAGAAGCTCGTGCGACATGCACCGTACTGTTTTCTATGGTGCTTCTTTAACTAAACTGGCCATATCCATAAACACTCTTTTCAAGCACACTCACACAGAAGAGCTTATATACATGCTCAGTCACATATTAGTTTAGTTCGCACACATATAACAAACATGTCAATTCAAGGTAAACTAGTCTGAGAAAGGGTCTAGAAATATTTAAAAAAAATAGGCTTTAGAAAGTGTCAGAGTTAGTGATAATGTGGCATGAAGCTTGGCTCGCTTGTTTGCTGGTGCCAAGTGCTGCCAATTAAGTTGCCAATAAAGCTATGTCTAAAACGATAGACATACTTCGGCTATAAAGGTATTTAATGTAGGTTGTGCAATCGTTGAGAGCACATGGATAAACTCAATTTATTAGATTAGCTAAAGTCTTGAGACTAGCAAGTTCGCTGCATATCAGCAAATAGATTTAGATCATTATGACAGGTACAAGAATTTCACAACTGGAGAGGAAAGCAAAGCAATTTGCCTCCTAACACACCATAAACTCCACTTATTCCTGAGATTTGTTTTTCCTTTTAAAATTGGAAAGAGCATTCCTCCCCCGTGCTTCATGCCTACAGCCCAACTTCCTACGTTCGGCCGTTTCCCCAAACCATGTTCCAGAGTACACAAATTGTGTGTACCGTCACACCAACAAAAATATGTGTAACTTGCTCAAAAAAATATTTTAAGTGGCACATTTATGGTACTAAAATTATGTGAATTATATAGTTCCAATTTTGAAACTACTAAAAGATTTTACATACGATCTGGGTACATCCGCAGTTGACACCAGAATTTCTTTGTAACGTCTAATGACATCATTTTGGGCCTGCGCTGGCAATCAGGCTGTCTGTTTCCATTATCATGCCCAGTTCACAAACAAAGATCCTTCTTTGCACTTCAGTCTTCATTTCGGAAACCCCAACAGAAGCATGCAGACCTTTAGCATTATACACACACCATGAAAAGACATTTTACAGCAGCCCCCGTCAATCTACCGACATGCGCAACCCGCGTTACAACAGAACAGTGTGTGCCGGCACACAGTAGCCAGAGCCAAAGACGTAGCTTAGTTGCTTTCGTCATAGATTTCATTGTCTGCAATCAGCACTTCCCGGCCGTCGGAGGCCGGGGAAGGCGAATCTCAGAGAACCTTGGTAAGCTTGAGCCTGATGACAATGTTGGCCATCTTCCGGCGGAACCACCTGACCCAGGCAACCGGTGTGTCATACTCGTTCGGCACAATCCCGTCCACACCAGACTCGAAGAAGTAGAAGAGCGGGAACCAGATCCTTGTGCGCTTGCTGTCCATCTGCATCAGCGCCCTGTTGTTGGCCAGCGTGTGGTAGTAGAGGAACAGCCTGGTCGAGATGTAGAACGCGATGAAGACGTCGATGGAATAGTGCTCATGCGCCGACAGGATGAAGAAGATGCCAAACAGGTTGAGCACCCACGACGTCGTGTGGAGGAAGTAGTAGGAGCGCGGCGTGTACTCCGTGATGAAGAAGTTGAGCAGCGTCAGCACTGTCGTGTGCCCGCTGAACATGTAATCCCCGCACGTCCGCACGCCCTGGATGAGCATGCCCCCGCCCTGCCAGATGAGGAACGCCTGGTGCAACTTTTCGGACAAGTCGCCGACGTGCCTCGCCTTGCACTCGAGGTGTTTGCCCGGGACAGACAGCGAGGTGATGAGCATGGTGATACAGCGGAGAAGAAACACCGAGCCGAACAACGAAAACATGCGGCGCAGGAGAATGAAGCGGTGCCGGTGGCAGATCAAGATGCTCACCCAGACGCCGAAGAGGATCAGTCCGGTCAGCTCGCCCATGGCGAAGGCCCACGGAATGTGTGGCACGTTGTCGAGGAAGATGTCTGGCAGAGGCGGGTAGGTCTGCATGTCCGGAACACGGTCGTGAACGATCACCATCACGATGGCGGTAATCCAAGTGACGGCCAAGAAATAGAGCATGCCCACCGCAGTCTTCCAGATCTCGGGTTTGAGATGGCGGCACTTTGTGGGCGCCGAGCCGAGCTCATTGCCGTCGTCGTCCTCGTAATCGTACTCGAACGAAATGTCGGGCGAAGGCGCGGTGCCGTCAGAGGAACCGACGCTCCGCCTGCGCCGATGTTTGCGCGTCGAGTTTCGTCTGCTGATGCTCTGCGACGGGTCAGCGGCCGAGTTGTTGGTGGCCGTCATCAGGAGTTCGCAGGGGCCTAGAAGCTGCTTGACGGCCCCTAGATTCTGCCACTGGAGCTCGCGGATGGAGATCATGAGGTTCTTGATGTCGCCCAAACGCTTGATTTCGAGCGGCGGCTTTCTGAGGTCCGACTCGGCGATCGTGAGCAGGGCTCGTCCGTCGATAACGTGTTCGGCGAACGTCGGCGCGTACTCGTCGTGCCCGACGGACCCGAGCCAGTCGGAGACCTCGTCGACGGACCATAGCTCGGCAGGTTTGTCCATCAAGGCCATGCCTCCGTTGCTTGTTGCTGCTGCGGCTGCTACAGCGCGCTGGATCGCTGGCACTCCACGGAGCAGCGCGCGAACTCAGCTCATTTCACAGCCCGGTTTGCTCAGCCGCTCAGCTGCTCACATCAACTGCGCCTGCCGTGGAGTATGCTCCGACTTCGGCGGACGCCACGGCGGCCACGCGCAGGTACGAGGCGGAAGTGAAGCGGTAACTCGAGCTGCAGCACGTCTTCGCAGCAGCGATAAGGAAGTGTGTCATCAGCGGAGAGAAAAAAGGTCACCGCGGAATTTGGGGCTCGATTGGAGGAGACCGGAACTACCTCTTCACTGTCAACGGTGATGGTCGGCTACCGTGACCGCTATGTAGGTCGTGTGGGCGTCGACCCTGGGAAACCAGTTTAGCTTCGCGTTCATCACGCCACGCAGATATTACGGTTATTTACAAATGATCAGAAAGTCGCATATGATGCATATTGGGCCAACTGGGCATGCGCGGGAGTACGAAACTCTGGGTAAATTTAACTCATAATTATTTCGATTATAAAATTTTAGGTGATTACGCGTGTTAAGCAAAAAAATTATAATATTATTTTGTTTTAAATTGTCATTAGAAGCCTTACTAGAGAGTTGTGAGGAAAAAAGTGTATTCTTGGGTGTCTGAAGCGCTTTGAGCCAAGTAGAGCCAAGCCAAGTAAATTTTTTTTTAACTTTTTTTTTTTTTTTTTTTGACTGGCGGCGGTGGGTGGCGAAGAAACAGGGACCTCCGGCAAAATATTAATCGTCATTGATTTTTAAAAATTTTTCACCGTGTACTAAATATCCACCCGTATGTCTACGAAATATTATTCGGAGAGCAAGTCGTCTGCTTCTTTCGCGGGGTTAGCGGCGACGTTAGAACGACGCCGAGTTCCGATGGACCTTTTTCTAGAGTTCCTGTATAGGCTCCCTACGGGAGCCAGAGTTGCGCATTTGTTTTCCCCGCGCCGCCACGCCGCTATTCGCCGAGATCCATCACGTGAGGAGCAAAGCATCCGTTGGCGTGCAAGAAAGCCACCTTTACGGTCGCTCCGCCGACGTTTCTCTTTCCCCGGCGTATATTTCCCTGCTTTCCGCCTCCTTTTCCTCCTCTCCTGTTTTCCATGCGCGGCGGCGCGCGCGGCGCCGCTATTCGCCTAATTTAGTCACGTGAGGAGCAAAGCATCCATCTCGTGTGGCAAAGCCGGCGCTACGGCCACGCGCCGAGGCTGAATGCGCAACTCTGCTACCGTAGGTAGCATATACAGGAACTCTACCTTTTTCCAGTAAGGAGCGCCTCATGACGGTTTCGCCGTCTACTACAAATGGAGGGCAACCGGACTCGCCTTCTCCCATAGGAACAGATTAGTGTCGCAAGAAAACAGTGCCCCCCAACAATGGCGAAAGGGCGGTCAAGGTCAAGGGAAAAGGGTGTGCGCGTGCGCAGACGCTTACTGGAAAAAGGTCTATTGGCTTTCATTGAAGGATAGCCGACATCGCTCCTCGGTGGCGATGCTGGCGGATCAAATGCGAACGGCAAATCGTCTGAAATGTCGTGCTTAGTATCTTAAACATTTGCAAGTCATTGCTTGGCTAAGGCAAGCTAGATGAATCATAGTCCATTATTTCCAACGGAGAATAGTGACAGCCTACGACTGCTTCTGTAGCTGTTAAAACAGGCCCAAGCTGTCCATGTGCCAATCAACGTTAATACTTTACCTCAGTTGTGGAACTCCCGCGGAAGGGGGTACCCCCCTCACTCACTTAAGTCTGCCTCCTGCCGTTAGAAGCTCCATCTAGATTTTCGTTTCACAATTGTGTGTTCCAGAGTACGCGATCTGGTACGGTGGGACACCATTTAGACGCTGTGCTTCGAAACACGTTTAACCCATAGAATACGCTGCAGTTACCTTAGCAGTTGTCTGAAGAGTCGAACGACAGGAGTCGAGTCATGGTGAGCGAGGGGGGGGGGGGGGGGGGGGGTGCTGCTCCTGCATGCAGTGTCTATGAGCAGTTCCGCAATTGAGCTAATTTAACAACGTTGCTCAGTTACGGAACTGCTCATTGATGCGAAGCTGCTTGCACCAGCAGTACCCCCCCCCCCCTCACTCACCACATCTCGCCTCCAGTAGTTCGAAGCGCTGGACGGCTGCTATGGTAACTGCACCGTGTTCTATGGAATATGTACGTTTCGAAGCACAGCGTCTAGATGGCGCTCCGCCGTACCCAATGAAATACAGTTCGCAAACAAAAATCTAGATGGCGCTTCGAACGACTGGAGGCGGGCTCAGGTGAGTGAGGTGTACCTCCTACCACGGGAGTTCTACAACCGAGGCAATTTAGTAACGTTGGTGCCAATGTACAACACCCGACGTCACCAAGATGACAGACCAGTACAGTTACAGGTTATTTAGCGCGCTTTGCATTTGCAGATACCTCTCCTCCAGCATCCGCTCTGCTAAAGTGGAAAGAGATGGGAGGAGTTTCCCCTAACTGTGGCATTGTCTGTCCATTTCCTGCACTACCTCAACGCACATTTCTTGTCTCGCTAAGCAACCCAACACCAGAAGCAGACACAGGCATTTTCAAAAGGGGGGCTCAGCGTACCATGTTTAACCTCCCTGAATCTGCCACTGCCGAAGACAACCACATTGCAGCACTTCTGCATGGTGCAAAAACTTCGGCAGATTCGGCCGAAAAACATGGATTATTTCGAGAAACCCAGAACCAAAAAACAGTACTACTGGAGCGCACACCACAAGGTTGTTCCACTGCGAGGGTGCAGCAATTCTGTGCTTAAAAAACACTTTATAAACTTCCTCGCAAATGCAAAGCACAATTTTGTTAAGCTCTTTCTGTACACAATAGATCAACTTTGCATCTCACAAGGCAGCAGTGGCTCTAGCAAAAAAAGGAAAAAAAGGTGTACAAAACAGACACAGTGTTTTAAAAACGTTTCTTTTTATTGTTGGCACTCACAGTTCAACTGTCTGTATGGCCCCCCCAATATATTGAAGGGCATGTGCACACATTGAAAAAAGAAAAGTTCCAACTAACAAATGCAGTGGATTTATAAAAATACTGCTTCCAGCAGCCAAAGGCAGACACTGGATGAAGGCACTCTTCAATTAATCTCAGGTACTGATCTTGGAACAAATGCACGTACGTGTAAAACAAGAACTACTCCCTTGCATCTTGTAGTCGTGCGACAAAATAAATGCAACTCTTTTTTTAGGCATTTCTCATTCTTTTGTCCGTTTCCTTTAAACGCAAAAATTCAAAAAGCCCAATTGCCCAATTTTTTTTTTCATCATCGTCGGTTGGCACAAGAACCTTTGCCATGAAATACTCGCGAGAAATGAACCTGTGCGCTTTGAACAACGAGACGCACGCTACGTCCCGTACAAAAAATGTACTAAAACGTTTGGGAAAAAAAAAAAATGAAACAAGGGAATGACCGGATGTTTATATATATATATAAAAAAGACAGAACATATAATTTAAATAAATGAGGTTGCCCAATGGTGATGATGAGTGGCTTCCCGGTAAACCAATACTACAAAACGACGTTAACCACAGAGACGACTTTGCTTTACCGCGAGACGGCGGGAACCACGTTACGAAAAGAAAAAAGCATTTGAGGAGAGGTTTTCGCGCGGGACGCGTAAAGTCGATGCTCTTTTTCTCGTCCCTGAAATTGGTCCCTCGAAACTTGAATTTCACCAGGAAATCAAAATGAAATTGCAATAAATAGGTTATGAATGCGGAAAAACGCTCTTCCATCAAAGAAAACCATCCAACATTGTTCGCTGCGCGGACGTTTTCGTCTCGCTGACCGTTGAAAAGTGTCTCGGTCGTAAGTACCCGCGCAGAAAAATGCGGCGGATGGTCCTTGCTTTTTCCTCCTAGAGATGAATTCCAAGTGACACGAACAAACGAGTTTGTTCCACGGGGTTGAAAAATGAAGGCGCGAGGTGGCAAAATGTTGTCCGCATATAATGATGAGCGATAAAAGAAAAAAAAAAAATGATACACAAAACTAAGTGAGTTCATGCAAGCATGCTACTGGGCGATGCAGCCATGTGCCGTAAAGGGGAGACAAAATAAAATGCAGCTAAACAAAGTGGGACAACTAGGTGTAGGTACTGCAGCCACTTGGCACAAACACACGCAAATCCACGCTCGGCGGCTCGATGTCGCGATTCGGCGGTGGAGATTCTTCACTGAGCTCTGCCAATCGCACTCATTAAAGTTAGAAACCGCGTCCCGACCTGTGAAATCCAAGTGGAGAAGCTTCGTTTTTCGCCGCCGGAAAACCACGTTCCGGGCGCGCAACGAATGCCGAGATCGTGCCGCCGCCGCTTTTGCGACCCCTGACCAGAGGTTTTTATGAGAAGTCGGGGTCGGATACAGGTCTGGGTTAGACATACTATAAAAAAAAAGGACCAGCACTTGAATTGTGCTCCCAAAAAATATATGTAGACCTCGACACTAGAACTTTTTTGTGTGTTTTCTCTCTTTTTGGCACGCACATAAAACAAAGGTTGGCCGAAAGCGGCACAAGCAGTTAAAAGCCGGAAAGCCGGGAAATCCCAAGACTGCACTCCCGCACCCGTTTAAGAATGGTGAAAACACCCCAATCTTGTTTCCGAGTCGTAACCGAAATCTAGGTTTCGTAAAACCATAAAACAAATTTTACATAAAAAAAACAACGAAAACAATGGTAGCACTTGAATCGACACACAAGCCACCTCGACGCAGTCTTCAACGTCGAGGCAGTTGCAGTGGGTCACAACCCGTCTAACTCGAAATATACGGCGGAGACGGCGGTCGCGAGCACATGGCCTCGAAAGGTAGCTAAAGCGTCCTTCGTGACCGCGGGGTGCGAGAGCTCGGGGCCGCAGCTTCCGCCGCGCATTCTAGAGAAGTTTGCTCGGAGCCTGGGTCCACCCCTTTACGCGGGGCCGCAACAATGATCCGACGCCTCGTGCAAACGGGAGCGAAGACTTCTTGCGAGTCCAGTAGTGGGGTTTCTCGAGCGTGCTCTCGCAAGCCTCGTCTTCGTCAAAGCAGAAAAGAGAGAGCAGCAAAGCGGGGGCAGGAGAAAAGAAAGGAAGGGGGGGAGGAGGTAGTCTCGCGCTCAGGGGTCCTTCATGGGGCAGAGGCCGATCTTGCGGAAGCACGGATGGGACAAGAGGTCGCCGGCGGGAGGTCGGTCTTGCGAACGCAGCTGGAGGCAGCGCAGCACCAGGTGCTGGGTCGGCAGGGTCAGGCTCTCCGGCACCGGCGGGGGCGATCTTGCGCACGAGATCTGCGGGACGGCGCATGCAACAATCTCTAGTAAGCCGGACTACAGTAGACTCTCATTAATTCAAACTTCAGGAAGTCACGAATTTTGTTGGGATTATCACACATTCATCTAAATCTGGTGCAAGATAAAATTATGATTTGCCATATGAATGGCTACACATACAAAGCCGATATCTGAAGCTTTCCTCTACACAGGCTTACTGATCATTAGCAGCTATGCCACACATGAAACGTTTGTGAAGTGTATGACGTAAGTTTATTTATCCCTCAAAAATGTTGTTTATAGTAGACTGTTTAGACAGCACGTGACAACTCAAAACAAAATTTTGTTTGTTGATCAGACCAAGAAGTTGTCTTATCTGGACTAGCAAGGCACACATGAGCAAAGAAAAGGGGCACCGCGCGGCAGTTTTCATAGCAACTTGTGTGGACGCCATGATGTGGACCTGTGCCATGCCACCATGTCAGAGCGCAAAGCACAAGTCGCTATGAAAATTGCTGCGTGGTGCCCCTTTTCGTAGCACATGGTGCCCTGCTTGAGTCCCGTTAAGTGCACTCCTCACCGAGCACCAATGCACTGCGGGGAAGCAACACTCGCAGGAGCAAGCTCCACGGTTGTTGCCTCTCTGCAGTGCACTGGTGCTCAGAAAGAAGCGCACTCAATGAGGCCGTGACAACAAAAAGCATGGAATACACGAAAGCACCTTTGAATTAAGCGGCTTATGAATACATTAAAAACATAGCGGGACAACCAAAATTTTGAGATTTGTTTGAATTAACCAGAAGTATGAAATATCCGAGTTTGAATTATCGCCAGCCTACTGCAATTGCTTGACTGGTGCAGACAGTCAATTTATTTTCGAGTAATCTTTCTCTAATCTGCCTCATACGATGCACCGCCACTTTATCAGCAGGTTTCCTCGGGAAAGGTGACAAACAATCAACGCACAATTCTAACATAAAAACAACAACAAACAAACTTTTGATTTATTGCTTATATGTCCTATGTGCAGAATGCATTAGCAATATATGCACGAATCTGGCCAGTGTGATATCAGTGTGATATCAGTGTGATATCAGTGTCAAGTTACGTTAGACCACGACTTACACCCAACATTACCAGATCTAATAACGTTGTCGACGCCGCGACGCTACAACTCGACGCCGCGAGTCGTGAGACCTGTAGTAGCACCAGCCACGCGACTACAGTTTAAATTGGTTATAACGGACCTTGATAGCACCCAAGATTTCAGTCTGTCGTAAAAGCAGTATGCTGTATGCAGATACGAGGTCGAACCAACGGTACAGATAGGAAAACTAACCAAACTTCAGAAAGCGTTATGTTATATCCAAATGTCTGTTGTAACAAGGTCTGTTGCAACGAGTCTATGCTATACATGATCCGTGGTGGCACCAACCACGTGACAATGTGCTCCGTGGTGGCCTCCCATACACAACGAACGCCGAGTTAGCCGGCTGAATTTTCCAGGCACAGCAACAGCTGCACAAATCCCAACTTTGCTTTCCGCTTTGCGTCGGAAGTTTTGCAGCCTGCCAGTTTCCGGCTTTGGGACGCGAATCACCCCGAAGTGACTCACCCTGTAGATGAGGGCCAGGTGATTGGGAGCCATGATCTCGCTCCAGGGGTGAGCGTTGGTGGCCATCTCGATCATCACGCAGCCCACGCTCCAGATGTCGCACGAGCGGCCATAGTCTTCCCCGCGCAGCACCTGGGACAATGCAGGGCATGTATTCGTCTGGTCCACGCTCGACAAAAAAAGAGAAACTCACGGTAGAGTAAAACAAGATCCATTCGAACAGAACGGCCAAACGCCTCGTAGCCTCTTCGTTTACAACTTCTGTCTTAGTTTGCCACATTTTCTGCAACCTATTTAAGGTAAATTCGATCTGTTCAGTTCTACGGTGCACGGCCAATATATGTAAAGGCTTTACTCAAAAACTGGCTTGCGCTTGCTGCGTCAGCATAATGACGGTTCCCATAGTTTGGACGAGCAGGATGTTCGGTCAATATACAGTGGAACACAGCAAAGGATGGGGGTTCTAGAACACCAGTATCGAGATGGTATTACAAAACCTTGCACCGCACAAAGCTACTGAAGTTATCCTCCGACCAATCCAGACTGGTTAAATGCAAGAATGAATCCATTCGATTGCCAAGCTCTCATCCCACAAACAACGAAACAGGCGGCTCACCTCGGGTGCCATAAAGGAGATGGTGCCCAGGAGTTGGCCCTGAAACTCTCCGGCCAGCGTGGCCTTGCTCGAGAGACGACTGGCCGAGCCGAAGTCGGCAATCTTCAGGTGGCGCCCGGTACCGTCCACCAGCAGGTTGGCACCTGAAATGCCGGGCCATTAAGCACGCCAAAAACTAAACGTTGCCACCTCTTCCAAAACTCGGAAATGTGAAATAAAAGAAAATTCTGGGATGACTTGTGAGTACCAGTTCAGTATGTCAGGCCTTCCTAGCAAGTGCCTACCAACAGGTAAGTTGTGCAACGCACTTAAAACAAACTCCAAGGTTTTGCGAAATAAGTTAGTTAATGGTGGACCAGCATTTACACGAGGTAAGCCTAGCTTGAAATCTGTTACCTCCATATGTGTTTGCTATAATTAGGGCTCCATGTTTTCCGATTTTTTTTCTTTCTTGGAATTAAGGGGTGAATTTTAGTGGCTTATTTTTTCCAACATGTCCTGTTTTTTCATGTCTATTTTCAGTGTTGGATAGAAAAATTATTTACCGGGCCTTATGCAGAAGAAAATGGGACACAGCCTTTGGGATTCCCCAAGCTCCCGGGAACAAGAAAACACAGAACCCTTGTTATAACAGAAGCTCGTCATAAGCAGACAGTAATACAGAGCTGTACCACCACTCCAATATTACTCTACGTTCCCCAAAAAGATAGGAATGTACCCCCTTACAGCACTTTCCGAGGTTATTTCCTACCTTCCCCTAAAAGCTAAAAATGTGGCCCCCACTGCACTTTCAGAGGTTGCTCCCTACACTCCCTAGAAAGCTCAGTATATGTAACCGTTACTGCACTCTTGCAGGTAGTTCTGCACCTTCCCCCAAAAGCTAAGAATATGTCCCTATTACTGCACTTGCAGAGGTTGTTACCTACACCCCATAGAAAGCTTAGCACATGTCTGCATTACTGCACTCTTGCAAATAGTTCCCCACCCTCCCCAAAAAGCTCAGCATATGTCCCCACTACTGCACTCTAAGGGGACTGAGGGAAACCAGGAGAAATGTGGCACCACCTTTGAGGTCCCGGTGCAGGATGTGGTTCTGGTGCAGGTAGGCGAGGCCACCCAGCACCTGGTGGGTGTAGCGGAGGATCACCGACTCCGAGAAGGGTCCGTACCGGTCCAGCATGGATGCCACCGATCCGCCTGCAACCGCACCATCGGTTCGCCACCGTCAACTAACGCAGTACATTTGAAAGGCCGTCTCCGCGTCCCAAGCTGTAGGCTCACAACCTTCCGTCAAAGGCAATTACCGGCGAAGACCCCGATCGAAAGCGACACTGACACCAGGTTATCGTATCTGCACAGGTAATAGACGCACCATTTATGAATAAAGCCCAAAGATCCACTTTCTCGCAAAGCATGTGGACAGCCAATCCCGGCGATTGAAAGAAAGATGACGATATACGGGACTGAGGTAATACCTTCACGTGAAAGTGCCGTTCTTATTGATCGCATTTTATGAAGGCCAGTGTTCTCGACCTCGTTATTCCCTACGCAGAACGCAACGATTGGCCATACGTGCAATTCGCAAGAAACTATACGCAGGGCCTAGTTCATAAGTAGTGTGCACATTACTCAAGCAAATACACTGCAAGGCCATCAGTGCGACCTGCGAGCGAAGAACGACAAAAAGGGAAACATTTCTCCTAAAGACTGAGCCTAGCTCACGTCAAACCATCTTCTGGCAGATATTTTGGCAAAATGAAAGGCGTAAGATGAGAGTCAATCTGATATCTTTTCCATTCCATCCATTTTATCAGTCATAATATATGCTACGATTGCCCAAAAAAACAATCTAATGATTTCACAAAAAAAAAAAAAAGACATTTGTTTGTAGGAAAAGAAAAGTTTTCCTTTCCATGCTTTTGACGTGAGTGAGCTCATATTTTTGTACTTTCAGATAACAAATGCACCACCTATGGGCACCACCCTCCACAAACTGTAGCACAATACATCAAGAATCCGACCTAGGCGGTCCTTTCGAAGAGCCGTCACACCACTGAATTCACACTGTAGCATGAAATCGGTTGCCTATCGCATACAGAGAAGCAGTTCTCTGTATGCGATAGGCAACCGACTGGAGGCCTTGGCATTCGAAGAGCAAAAGAGTACGGTGGGCGTTCCCTCACCAGCCATCCACTGCACGAAGACATTGTAGTGGTTCATGTGGCGCGTGGCCCCGAGCAGTGGCAGGACGTTGGGGTGTCCCAGGCGTGCCATCATCTGGATCTCGTCCCACATGCTGGCCACCGCACTGTCCTCCTCTTCCCGGCAGTTGCGGCAGAACGACATCTGCTTCACCGCCAGCAGCGTGCCAAGGGTAATGTCCACCGCCTGGCAAAGGACGTCGCGTGAGCACGTTGCGCGAGTAGTCGCACACACACGTTGCACGAGTGCCTTACGAGAATGCGGCAGAACGTACGATGGTGACAACCTTATTGATGTTGACTGCGCCAACCACACAAGTATGTCAAATGTTCATGTCCAAGACCTTATTTATTTGCTGCCAAGACCCGCCATGGGACTTGGATACAAAAAGACAACACTCCTATATTATTACATGTGATTTTCAAAGGGATGTTTGGACTGTCTGATATAAACAATATTTCAGAATACCCGATTGTGATATAACCGGGCTCGACCGTATAGTACCAATCGTATTCCTGCGCAAAGCATAGTTCGACAACATGTGATGAAACTCCCTGCAATAACAAATCCTCTGGCAAGCCTGTAACACTAAAATGGGGCAACCTCGGGCATTCATATTGAGAATATTTCTCGCACGCTAGCCTCTTTCTTGTTTTACAAATTTTAGGGGAACATATTTAGAAGTATTACACATTTAAGTAGTGTCCACAACCCCACCTGGTAGCACGAACTGAAGGCTCCTGATCCCAGCAGGGGACCTCGCCGCCAGTGCTCTCCCTCGGAATAGCGTCGGCGCCCGCCTTCCCCGCGGCTCGGGCACATCGGAAGCTCCGTCTGCAAAGGCACGCAAACGTCTTTGGAGCGCTACCTTGCCAATTCAACGACAAACTTTAGACGCCACTTGGCACCACCGTTTAGTTCGGGAAGTGCACCACCGAAGTGCCCTCTTTGGGGCTCGTTCTAACGCATTCGTCAGGCCAAGGGTGCTCGAACCAGTCACTTCCCAGTTAGTTCGAAAAGAGCAAAACAATTAGAGTGACTGGCAGGGTAAGAATGGAAGGGAGGAGCTTCAGTTGGCCCGCCTCCAGCACGAGCTGGAGGCCAGGCGTTGGAAAGACACGCCTCGTCCTTCTCACTTTGCCAGCGACTATAGAAAACGCAAAATGACACCTCCACACGCTCCAAGTTGGACGCTCGGCAAGAAAGTAGACGAAAGTTGCTGACATTCACCGCCTTCCTCGTGGCACTGCCCAATCGCCGTGCTACGACGGCCAGCGTCGTGCCGCGATTGGCCAGCGCCAAGATCAAGCAAGGCGTTGGCCAATCGCGGTGGTCGGCAGTCTTGGCGACTTTCTCTCCAAGTGTCCAACTTTAAGCCCCAGGATGGCTATTGAGGAGCCAAAAATTATGTTTCGCAAGTAGCGACGAAGGGCATTGGCTCACCAGAGGTCTGAAAACTATGAATTCCTCGTCCTGCATGTCGGCTGCGTCGCAGTAGCCGGGAGTCGTGTCCCCGCAGTGCGTGAATCCCGCCGTGTTGGTGGGTGACCCTGAACCGTCGCAAAATAGAAATGTCAACATTTGAAATTGGAGACGCCTCATTTCAATGTTTCAAGATGAAGGGAGACCAATATGCACTGACTAAACTAGAGAAACAAATATGTTTTACAGTGGACTCGCAATAATTCAGCCGGATGTTTCCTACTTCCAATTAATTAAAACGAATTAAGAAAATTCGGTTGTCTTTCTATGTTTACAATGCATTTATAAGCTGCTTAATTCAAACAGCCTTTTCGCCTAATTCCTACTATTTGTTCATGACGGCGGGTCAGCCCCTTTGAGTGCGCTTCTCACTGAGCACCTGTGTACTGCGGGAAAGCAATATTTACAAAGCTCGCAAAAGCATTGCTTTCCTGCAGTACATGGATGTTCGGTGAGAAGCGCACTCGATGGGACTAACCCACCGGAATTATGCAAGCAGTACTATCCTGACAACCTGCTTTCATTATTCGTGCTTGTCTTTTCTGATTTTTCTAGGGGGTTAAATTTCACATGAAAGAAAAAATATTTGCATATAGCAAGCAGATTTATAAATTCCCTCAATTAGGAGAGCCGAGCATCTCTCTAGGTTTAGTTTTATGTAAAATCTGTCATTTACATGCCAAACCAATGTAGGCATTGAACTTTCTGAGGTCACAGTTCATAGATTCAGTTATAATAAAACTGACTGAGCTTAGAAGTGGACAAGTGGAAGGTTGGGAACAACCTTTCAGAGTTCAACTGAATTTTCGTTCAAGGATGGTACAACGGAGAAACTATTCAATATTCTATTATTGGAAAATATTCGGCCAAAACCATTATGCGCTGGGAACTTGACCAATGTTTTGTGTGTGTGCCTGCTAATAAATAGGCCTGCGTAGAGGGAAGCGTAAAAAACATCTGCTTGGTATGAGTAGCTACTCCTATAGAAAATCGCTACTTTGCCTCACAACATATTTAGATGAATTTCTGAGAATTCAAACTTCTGATATTTCGAACTAAACTCCGAGGCTTCCGGGAGTTTGAATTAATGAGAGTCGACTGTTAGGTGCACGCAGACATCCATCTCTCGCGGCAACCCAACCGTCGTGTTGTTGTTCCCAAGAGTTAAGTTAGGCTTAACTCAACCCCAACAAAAACGAATGGAATAACATGGAACCAAACGCGACACCCTTGAGGATTAAAACCAACTGCGCAAATAACAACAATATGTCTATATATTTTAGTCCCTTTTTCCTTGGGTGTGATTATGTCTAGACAATTTAGTTTTTGCAAGGACTCAATTTTAGGGAACTTGGCATAAACTGTAAACAACTTTATTTACGCAGGCTCAGTATATGGCAAATTTGGCAAAGTGGGGTGTCCAGAGATATTTTGTGGGCACGAAATTTCGCAAAGCAGGGTGCAATGTTATGCAACTGTTACAGTAGAGAAACATCTGCTTGGACCTCTTCTTTGCAATACTATACAAGTCGCCAAAATTAGATTTACAGTATATAGCACTCCCCATTGACACATACCACATCGTTCCAAATCGCGAAATTTCCTGCCTGCGATACAATCTCGAAACATACACTTTCCCAAACTAGCAAAATATTGAACAAGCGAAAATAAAGTTGTTTACAGTATTGGAGATAACACCATTAACTACATATTCCCATCTGCCGGACAAGTTGAAAGTTTGAGTGTGTGTCAATAATGCAAGGTGTCAATAATGCAAGGGTGTCAATAATGCAAGGGGACATTTTTACAGTGTCGTAAACGAGGAGCCAGACACGCACTCGAGTTTATGACTTACGAGAAAAAGAATGCACAAAATTACTGCAATGATTGCAAAGTTCCCTAAAGCTACGACCTCTACTTCTCTAAAAAAAAAAAAAATGAAAGAGAACCAGGATCAACTAAGAATACAAAAGAAATGTCCGTAACATGATGGAATATTTTTACTATATCCCGAGAGATGCCCCAAAGGCAAAAGATAACCTGCCCCCTTTTTCTGGCATGATTTGCTATTTTTTTCAAAAACGCGGAAAGACAGGCTATTTTTTGCTTTCAAGTTTAGGGGGGGCCACCTCTAGCGATATTACGGTAGCATTGTAAACGAGGAGGAGGCGCACGCACCAGGGTTTGTGGTCACACCCCGATTGGGCGGGACATCTCCGTCCTCCTCTGGGGGCAGGGCGCAGGAGAGGGCCTCGATCTCGGCCGCAAACGACACTGGCGACCCGACGTCCCCGACGCTACCCGGCGACGTCTGGGACGAGGACGTCGCATGTCCCAGGGACAGCGAGCAGGCCAGGCGCCGCAGGGGCAGGAAGTTGGGGCGGTGGCCGCGGAGGACGCGCAGCGGAGGAGGGGGCGAGAGTGCGCTCCGCCTGGAGTCCGTGCCGTCGTTCTTCGTCTCGGAGGAGCCGGAGGACCAGGAGGAGCGTCCCGAGGAGAAGAGGCTCTCGCGGAGCCTCCGCTCGATCGAGGGCGACGAGCACGGTCGCCGCGGAGGCGGCGCCAGGTCGCGTTGCGGAGTGCTCGCCCCGGAGCGCTGCGACGGAAACGCGAGCTGCCGCGGTGAGTGGAACCGAACCGAGGGTGCGGGCATGCTGGTTTGAGACTTAACGCAGTAACCCTGGGGAAAGGGGAAAGAGGAACGGACATACGTTTGGAATTTTGGGTTTGTCCGTCGCTTCCGCCCCTTGCTCCAAGGTTACCGGGTCGGTGTCAAGAAAGCTTTGTGCTACCTCAGGGTAGAAAACTGGACGAGTCTCTCTAGCCGCGCTCGGATCTCAGTGTTACCGTGCGACATGACTACCTCGAGTTATGCCACGTGGTGACAGAGATTAACGCAGGACACTGGTAGGCGTTCGAACGCCAAGGTAGAAAACGTTTACTCTGTAGCGACACCAGGAAATATTTTAGAGCATGGTCCTTGTATAGTCATCAGGTTTCTTTACACTGTGTTTCTCACAATGTCAATTATCCAGATACTGGACCAAGCCAGTGGAATTATGGCAACCAAGCTTCCAGTTTGTCTTTCACAGTTCGGGAGAAGTCGCGGCAGCCGCCCTCCAATTCTAAAGCACCCAAACGTTCAAAACTGAATGCCTATTGCCGGGCGCTGCTAGCCTGCTGACGCATTCAGCCCGTTGCCAAACGCAGCAGGCTAAATCTGCCGCACTTAAGCAAGACGCCGCTATCGACGAGCAATAGCAAGCGTGGAGCTGCGACAGAAGCAGGAGAAAAGGAACGAGGGATGTCACCGAACGTACCTGGTCGCGATCGGTGCACGGCTTGCCACCTGGCAGGAGGTGGTGGAAGAGCTCGGGGTCTATGGAAGGAGGCGGCAGCTGGAAGGTGGGCATGCGGGACGGGCTGGCGCTGTGGGGCGACTGGCACCCCGGCGAGGACACCTTGCTGCCGCCACGGGAGTCCCTCGTGTGCAGGAGACGTTCACGGACAAGGTTAGCCTCCTGGAAAAGGGACAAAAGTGGGTTGGAAACAGATTGTCCACCGGCGCACCATTGACCAGCGCCCGAGTGACTGGCGCCATTAGTTACCGTCGTCCGAGTGACCAGTGTCCCATTGAATGGTGTCCCATTGATTGTTGTCCCCCACCAACTGGTGCCCCACTGACTGGTGCGATACTTACTGGTATTCTCACACGGGGTCTGACTGACGGGTGTGGTCACTAACTAGTATCCTGTTGACTGCCATCCCATCGACCGCTGTCCCACTGACTGGTGTGCCAATCACTCGTGTGCTTACTAGATGTTGTAGAACTGACCAGTATGGTCATCCCACTGAGTGGCGTTCTGCAGGACGTCATCTTATTGACCAATGTCCCAATGGCTGCGTCCCACTCAAACCCAAATTTGCACTGCCTCTAAGTTAATGACACTGAATCAGCATGTTCCTGAACTATAAGTTTTGATCACAAAAACTGAAACAAAACAGGAAGGAGGTGTGTGCCATTCATTTCTGCAGAGAGAGAGAGAAAGGGATCAATCAAGAATCACCCACCTGGAGGCGGTCTGGCGGGGGCTGTCCGAAAACCAGACGCAGGTTCCTGGTCTCCTGGAGCGCGGCACCCACCCTGCGCACCAGCTGCGCGCGCAGGTGTCCCTGCAGGGAGGCCACGCCGTCCCAGATGTGGGCCACTGTGGTTGGGCAGCGGCCGCAGATGCGCGCCAGGCTTGCCAGCAGCTCCCGCCCGTGGCGCACCACCGTTGCGTGGCTGTGTCCCAGCTGCAAGGAGAGAAAGCGGATCGGATCGACGCGACGATGCGAGCCTAAAGGCTGCTTCGCACAGCACCGTCTGCTCATGTCACGTAATGTTAGGGAAGCTTGTCTGCCCGTGTCAAGAGCCACCGGAACATCCCTAAGCAAACGCTCCTGCATCAATGAGCCTACACTCTGTTTCGCTTGCGTAGTGCACTTAAGTTTCAGGGTGCTTCCAACTGCTCCATCGGTGTCGCAAGTATATGGGCAGCATTTGCCATTCAAGCTGCGAGGAGGTGACAGATGCGTTGGTCGTCTGCAGGCGTCTCCGCCTTTATGCCTGCTGTCATACTCGCTGCGAGACAACTCCCAAAAATCACGTGACACTCACACATAGTCACGAATAATCACATGACTATGTTCCTTGCTGATTCCAACCTCCAGATGCCACGTGACACTTGCACAGCATTTGAATGCTCCAACGTCGTCAGCTGGTCACTGGATGAAGCAAGGTACGGAGGGGGCAGCGATGGCCGTGTTCCCTTTGCAATTTATAAGCATAAAAAATGGGGACAATGCTCGTGGAAAGGGGAGGCTAAAAGGCCTCAAACACCCCAAAAATGAGCAAGGAGCTTTTCGAGGCGTCTGAGGAGTCCGATCAATCCACTGCCAGAGAGTGGCGTATTCGGTGAGGAAAGCACGCAAACTCGCACCGTAACTGGGGGACGGCCACAAAAGGGTACGGAAGACACGAAGAGTTGCTGCCATTGCTCTCTCCAAATGTTACATTGTTCTAGCGTTATGTTAGGAAGTCGCCTTGGGAAAACTACTTTAACGTAGTGATGGCAATCTGACAATCGTACAGATTGTCAGAGGACAATCTGTACGAAAGAGCAGACAATTGAAAAGGAAGATTGAAATTTTAAACGCGCTCCAATGGGAATCGAACCCACAATGCCACGATTGTAAGCTTGACATTTTACCGCTGCTCCGATTAGTGGGTGGACGTAAAGCTAGCTGACTCAGTCCCTACCACGGTTGTCGCTACTAATCGTTCGAATGCGAACGCCAGACTTTGACGTTTTGCGTTCGCCGGACGCCGACATTCTGCATTCGCGTTCTAACGGTTTATGGGAAGAAACAAGAAATCTAAGACGTGCCCACCATCCCATAAAAAGAGACAGAGTTTGTGATGTCATCAGATACAATGACGACTTGACTACGTAGTTCCTAAACTAACCTCCTGCTCTCGGCATTTGGGTGGTCATAATATTGAGATATCCACAAGGTATGCTCTATATCGACCGCAAGCTGCACGAAGCTGCAGTGTGCTCAAGAGAGAGAAAGAGATGCACTGACCGCTTTCACAGCCAGGTCGACGGCCACGATGGAATCTGCGTTGCTGGTGCCCGTCGCGATGATGGGGGAGGCCAGCACGCGGGGAAACTCCTCGGCCAGGCGCTGAAGCACCAGCAGCTGGCTGAGGAGGCCCTGCCATGTGGGCGTCAGCTTGCCCTCAAACAGCACCACCTCCAGCAGGAAGTCGGCCCCCAGGCCGTCGGGGGCTGAAAAAAGCAAGGGTCATTACTTTATTTAGGTGACACTGCAGACCGCAGCATAAGCCAGGGAAAAGACATCTCGTCGTAAAAACAGTCTGACAATGAGGGACGAGCAAAATAGAAAAACCGTTACAAATATCGGACACATCCGTGTCGAGTACCATATTCGCTCGAGTAATAATCGCACTCCTTATGAACGAGGCCCTTGCATCTACTTCTCTGCAGAGCACGCATACAACCAATCGTCGCGTGCTACATCAGAAACGCTGCGAATAACAAAGTGAAGGACATAATTTTATGTAAAAATGTGATTCGAGCAGATAGCAATTTCGCGTGAAGATGTTACCTCTATCCCGTAAATCACTGGCATTTTTCTGCCCATTGCAGGGTTTCGCTATACGCGTGCTCCGTGGGAAAGCAGACCCACAGGCCTTGTTCGTAAGGAGTGCAGCTATTACTCGAGCAAATGCAGTATTTGTAATCATGAAGGTCCACTGCGTTGCCTGCCTTTTCTCAGTTACTTCTGTATTGCAACGCATATGAAAATGTACTTCTGACAACTTCTAGCAGCGTGTAGTAGACATGCATGCAGTCATCACACGGGAAAGAAAAGAAACAGAATTATACACTGCGAACAACTTAATTTTTGCAAGGACCTCATTTTTGAAAATTTCCAGATTTAAAAGTACCGAAAAAAAATCTCATCACGCAGATACATCGCCCCGTGCTAACGAATACATAGCATGCAGACATGTCTGGTACTCATCACAAGTAATACAATTACATGTAATCAATTACTTTTTGGAGCAATTTTTGTAATCATTTGAGTACATTTATTAGGATGTAAACACAGTAGTAACTTCATTATTTTTGCAAGTTACTAAAAATACTTGAGACCTTTACTATCTTCACCTACTCTCTTTAATGGCACCCTTTATATCCACCGGTTTCCTACCAAGGAAGTCTACGAGAGAAGGGCGCTTTATCAAAATTGTTGGATTAAGAAGTTAAGTAGTTTAAATTTGGGTGACTCAAATCCAATAATGATCAGAACAAAAGACCCATTTTCAAATTGCCAGAAAAATATGTAGTTTTGAAAATCCGAAGTAATCGAAAAAGATAATGATTAATTTTTCGAGTAATGGTCAATTTTTTTTTTTTTTAAGTAATCAAATGGATACTTCTTAGCCAAGAGTAATTGTAATTGTAACCAATTATTTTTCTCAAGTAGCATTTACAAGATTGATAACGTTGACATCCCGAATCGCGGAATATTTCTGAATCGCGCACCTCGCAAAATCTGCGAAATATCCAATACAGAATGTGTGTTACCTATAGCAAAAAATTATGTGCCCCCCCCCAGTACTCTATGCAAACAAAGGAAAAAAGCATAAACGCAAACCTTAGCAAACACAAGAGAAGAAAAGACTGTGGCGCCATCATCGTTCCGTGACACCAACCGCAGGGCGACACACGGAATGCGCACTTCCCAGTGTTAACGCGTCACAGATACAAAAACAAAAGAAAGAAAGCAGAGTTAGGGAAACCCACCTGGGTAGTTGGTCAGGCTCCCCACAGACAGCGCTCCCGTCTGCCCCTTGGCCAGTTCGGCCAGGGTTGCCAGGCTCAGCTGGCGGCTTCTCCTGTAACACCATCAAACATGCACGCAAGGCGCCAGACTTCAATGTAGAGAAAACAGGCTTACAATGGTAGAGAAACAGGAAAGTCGAGTTACTCTATCACTGAGAGACGCACATACAGGGCGTTTCCGGAAACGCAGGCAAAATCGCTCATGCGAAAACTATGCGTCGCACAAACAAAAGGTTGATGCCGTAGTGGCCCGTGTCAAAGGGACCACTCAGGAAAATTATTAGCGTTCACTATAATTGGGTAATTAATTATTTTGAGTAATGAAATTGTTAATTATCGACTTTAAACACGGTTTCAATTAGATCTTTGCTGGGAATTATTGAAAACTATTACATACACCCACGGTACAATGATATAAGGCACACGCAGCATTTTACGGTGTTCCGAAAAAATGCTCAATTTAGACGCGTTTCTGGGTATCGGTTTTCTACCGAAGCTCATCACCGTGCGGGCGATCCTGCCCCCGTGCCTAAAACGAACAACGTGTGTGTGCCACCACGCTTCACACGTGGTTAAGAACAAATACCTCCGACTTGCATAACAATACCAACAATTTACAAGTAGACGTTTCATCTCCTATGCGGGAGACATCATCAGTGCAGCCTAGGAACACCCGAATAGCTGCCAGTAACCAAACGCTTGCTTTTCCTTCTCTTCATCCATAGTGCTGGTTCTGCGGACTTCTTCGTCCATGGCATACAAGAGACATCATCGTGAAGAGACATCGTCGGCTCTTGTTTGTTTAATTTTTTTTCGTCCGTCGCAGATGTGAAGTTAAAGGAAAAGTTATTTCAGGATGTCGGTGTAGACGTCAGGGAGGGGGTTGCGGTTAGAATAACAGGTGGATGGGTCACTGTGAATACACCATGATTCCAGAAATCTTCTGGGGCCCCACCGTTGTTCACATGCCAGGGTTTTCACACATGCCAGGGAATTCACATGTGGAAGAGGTTAGATTAAGAAAGCGTCCAAACTGTCATACAAAGTTTGCCTTTTTGTTGTCGGTACCAGTGTGAAGACGCACCTTTATGTGCGATGGGTGGCAGTGCACACACGTTGTGCTTTTCGGACAAAGGGGGCGGGATTGCCCGCGCGGAGATGCGACCCGGTAAGAAACCGAAACCCAGAAATGCATCCAAACCAAGAATTTCTTCAAAATGCCGTAAAATACTGCGCTTGTCTTATATCAATGTAATGTGGGTGTATCTACCGTATTTACTCGCGCAATCCTCGCACTCGCGCAATCCTCACACCCCTAATGTGAGCCACTGAAAATTGAATTTTCCTTTTCCTCCCGTAATCCTCGCACCCCAAAAACTGCAGCGGCGAAAGTCGCCTGCTCGCAAAACCCGCATGATGAACGCGCTCTCCACCAACGGGTGGTGTAGGAAGAGCGTGCAGAACAAAGAGTGGAAAGGGCAGAAAAGCGTGATACCCCTCTCTCGGTGACCAAAATAATTCAGCGCAAAGGCTTTGTATCCAACTGGTGCTGAAGGAAAGCGCATGCAGCGTCACAAAGAGACAATGGCGTGATGTAGTCGGTTTTTATACAATACCCTGCCCAAGGCACCACCTGAACGCCACCCACCCTATAAAGCTTCCGCATTTAAACAGGTTCGGCAGAATTACCAAATATACAGCTAATTTTATGACAAAATAAACACCGATTAGATACAAGATTCTGAAACAAAAATTACGTTGCAGACACAGACTACGCACTTGTTTCCGCCACTGGCGCACTTGACGAGAATGGCCCTAACGATGTTCCTGACCCGGCTCTGCAGGTTCCGCAGGTCCTCCAAGATGTGGCACGGGCTGTGCACCAGCATCGACTTGAGGCAGCGCTGGAAACAAGGAACGAGAAAACAAACAACAGGTGAGAACTGGCAAAGCAAGTCACTCCAGCCTGTAAGTCTCACTGTCTCTGCATCCAATTTCTACAACAAGCGTTGAACTAAGACATAGTCATTTCTCTCAGTGCACGAAACACAAACTTGAAATCATTACTCGACCCTGATATCCGTGCACTAATCAATACGTTAGTTGCCGCGAGCCGTACCAATGAGTCAGTGCTCATTTAGTTGTCGCAGCCATCAACGCTCAGTATGCCAAAAAGTCCCAACCGGGGGAAACGCAACTTGCTTTATTCAAAAGTCACCCTGCAGTGCCCGAGGGCGTTATTGCAGTGCGGTTACAGGGATCAAACCACTTCATCAGGACAGCAGAGTTGCAGTTCCGATATCCGATTCCACTGTGGAACAGGATTGGGGTCTCTTTTGGCACATCTTCGATGATGAGAACAGCCTTTTCTCTTCTAATGAGGATATGCTCCTTCGACATCTATCTTCGTCGGACCATTAAGGCTGACTGCTCAACCGGTTAAAAAATAGACTCACCAGAGCGGTGACATACACCCTGTAGACTGGGTCGGCGATGCCAGCGGCCACCACCTGGCAGCAGGCAGCCTGCACCACTTCGGCTCCCCCCCAGGGGTCCAGGCAGGAGGGGTTAGAAAGGGCCAGCCGCAGGGCGTGCGTCACCTGAAGGCAGACGAAAACCTTGTCACGATTGCGTCGTAGCGCCTACCACATTCAACGCTTCTACCCAAGAATACTTCGACGTGTTTTCGGCAACAAGAGCCCACGGGTCAACTTTCCTGCCAGCACACAGACGGCCAATCACTGGGACTGAAAACGACGGGAAGAGAGACCGTTTGGGAACGCGGGCTGCACTGGTTGTTTTCAAGCGCATCAACACCACGTTTAAGAACCTTGCACTGGTCGCCGTTTTTTTTTTTCTGCGCTCCTACGAGCCAAGAGAATAAAAAGGACCCTGGGACGTCTCGTCACAGTGCGTGGAATGTGTTTTCGGCTGGCACGTAGGGTGCCCTAGACAACACGCACATTTAAAGTGGTCCCAAAGTGGCAACAAATTACACCGTAGGGGGTGGCCTGTCAGCCGTTGGATGTCCCGAACCCGTCAATTCATTGTAAGAGCCAGGAGAAAAAGACAAGTGGTTGCGAGTGCTGCCGCCATCGCAGCTTCCAAACTTGTGACAGTTGAGGTTTCTGCACTCTCAAATTAAAGAACGACTTATAAGAAAAAAGACGTCTGCCGTGTTCACATCTGTTGTTGCGCTGCTGCCAAAGTTGCGGCACAAGTGTGATGTCATCTGTGCAAACCAAGGAATCACGAAAGAAGCCGCGGTGAACCTCTCGGGCACTATTGTTCCGACATAAAAACACAGCCTCTGCAGAGATTACGAACGCACAAAATGAGACATTCCACGCAATTCAACTAGGCCACGTTTTCAGGCCCAAACTCTAGTTGCACCACATTGTTTGCTACGCCCGACGCACACAGTTTCCAAACCAGGTTAGCCCGTATCCGAGTAAATACGGCCCATTCTGAACCAGTCGATAAGCGAAAGTAGACATAGGCTCACCTGGGCTTCAACCTCCTGAATGGCCGCCTCGCGCTCTGACCACGACGCCGACGCCATGCACAGTGCCACCTCCACGCCGAAGAACCGCGCAAGCAGGGACGCCGATGCCGGGACGCTGCCGGCGCCGACAGGGCGCGGCAGGGGCGGGGCGTCTGACGCACGGCGCAAGAGGCAGTGCAGGGGGCAGGGCGGTGCAGGCAGGTCGAATTCATCTTCTGGCCCCGACGAAACGAGCCTGGACGAGGGCATGGTTCATGAGCGCAAACTCTATGTTCCCAAGTAAGTCCGCCTGTCGACACGGTATGGTTTAGAACACACGCCCAATGCCTCGAGGAGCGACAAACCTTCCAACTAGTTCGAGTCACTTCTACGCAACAATTCTATATATGAACCTCATCTAGTTTCGTTGCTCGAACTTTCTTTCATCCTTTCCCTACCTTCTACATTTCATCTTTCTATTTTCATAAAATGCAGCACATGCACACTCAATCTTCTACAAACCAGAACACCCCCTTATCTTCTTTCTCTCCCCACCCATGAGTGTGATGAAGAATGACAAGAGACTAAGCAAGAGAGACCTGGTTCCAGAAAACTCTCTGCTAAGAGGGCAGGCGATCCAACTAAAAGAAAACAATGTACCCGCCAGCACACGAGAAAGCGGGCTTTTGTGCGGCAGCTCTACACACTCACTTGTCGGGTGGAGGCGTGCAGTCATCACTCCAACAACAGCGGCAAAGCGGACAGAGGACGGGATCCCCGTTGCGGGAGCACTCCTGGGCCCCTGAAACGAGGACAAAACAATTCCTCAGTCTCAACGAGCGAGGGCGAAATATTAACTCAATTTCCTGCTATTTACCAAAAATGAGGACCTAGAAGCTGCACCTAAAACCGTCAAGTTGTAAAATGTGGATACGCTCCTTACGTGCTCGACACTGCACAAGTCATCGTTACAATGGTTCTCAAATGGCAGTTCGCAGACCCTTCAGTGTCCCCACAGGCTTTCTTAGGTCTCCGAAGCCTTAGACAAATCAATCAAGCTGAGCACTAATTTTTTTTTTTTTTATTGACGCTGGCTGTTTTACATGGCTAAGCAGACAAAAACAATGCGTACTGAATACCTGTTTGTCATTGCAATCGTTCAATACTGCCCCTACCCCCACCGATCCAAAACGGGTTCCCTAGACATCTGTGGTTGAAAACCACCGCATTATTACGTGCCAAAGTATTCTGTCCGCTGAAACCCTCGAGAAGGAAACAGTGGTTCAATGAACCCGTTTCGGCAAGTTATGCTGGCTTCCCATACCGGAGAGGGCAAGCAGACATGTCGACCGAAAGCACGCATTATCACACTTCAAGTTCATGACTGTCGTAACTTTAGCCGTCACCCTACGGCTAGTTTGCGCCGTCTGCTCGCTTCACGTTCGTACCCCACGACACTCACATATGGCGATGCAGTGGTGGTGTAGCCTGTTATGGCAGCCCCTCTCGCAGGACACCAGCGACTCCCCTTCAAACATCTCCAGCAGGCAGATGGGACACGTGCTCTTCTCGTCTTCTTCCCTACAGCAACAGACGGAGGTCTCCTGTTAGGCTTAGACATAGCTCAGATGTCGGCATTACTAGATCAACTTAGCAGTGCAACTTTGCTCCGGAGGTGGCGGCCTGCTTCGCGTGTTGCCTGCAAGGGGGTGCACGTTCCACTTTAGGCGACATTATCATCACCATTGGCTACCCTTCTTAATACTTTCATTAACAAACTGCTAAAGCAAAAAAAAAAAAATAAAGAAGCTTTTGTGCATGCACAATGCATTTACAGAAGATTCACCAAGATTTAGAGAGGGAATTTCTGCACACTTTACTGCATTTTAAAGCCCAGAGCCGATGACATGCGATCTTCGTCCAAAACTTACGGCTAGCAGACGACGGAGACGAATGGCACCAATTAACAAAAAAACGGGCCCCGATTTCCCATCGAGATTTTCAGAAAATCGCTCGCAACTTTTAAATAAGATGACAGCTAGTTTTGAAACTCCGCATCCGATTCAGACCGCCAGCGCCACATTTGGGCCAAGGCAGAGTATTTGGCGACACATTGTTTATTTTTGCAGCGAAAAAAAAAGACCCCGTAAATCTTTTCTGGAGACTCGCTGCAGTAATTTTACTCATATGTTGGGTTAGACTACCGTAATATCCTGAGAGATAGCCCACCTAAAATCAAAGGCGAATCGGGTCAAAAATAAGGAGCGAGCTAACTTTCGGTGTGCTATCGAAAAAAGTTTTAAAAAATGCTACTTTCAGATTTTGTGACCTGCGACACTTGCGATTGCAGGGAGGTGCGATGATCCATACGACTGTCCTTCCCGGTCAGCAATGTTCGCTTGTCTCCCTTTTTGGCTAAGTAACACCATTCCTGCTGGGGTCACCATTGGCCGGAGCCTTGCACTTTTACTGTAAATAAACTATCTTTTGGCGTTTAAAAAAAAAAAAAGTGAGTCGTGCCAAAAATACGGGTGGGTGGGTTATCTTTGAGGGTGGGGCATCGCTCTGAATATGACGGTAAACTCCCCATTATCGGCGCCATTCTCTTTTGACGACGTTTACACGATTAGGGTATCTTACGTGTCCTGGCTGGCTTCCTCGGCCCCGCCTGGGTTTGGATCGCCCGGGAGATCTGGCTGTGGTCCGTCGGGAGATCGGAGGTCGCTAGAGCCGCCCTCCGATTGGAGGGACGAGCGGCGCCTCCAGGCAGAGTAGGCCCGCAGTAGCTCGTCCACCTACGAACCAATCGCGTCGCTTCAAGCTCAGTTACATGAACGCGCATAGAAATGCTATCTCTGCGTACGAAAATTGCCTAGACTGACTGAAGGTCAAGCATAATTTCTCCCAAAGGCAACTTTAGGTCATGTCTCCACAGAAATAGATATGTCGGTCAGTCTTGGAGAGAGGAAGGGGCGAGCGGGTCTGCAGAGAGATTTGACATCAAAGATGAAGCATTGTCCAGTTCGTATTTGTTGACCTAATAATTGATATTCCACAAAAACTGAACATTTTTTCTATGTCACGTTTTCCCACAAAAGAGAGTCGTGCTTGGGAGGCTAACGTGAGGTGGTCACCACTCCTCCTCCCCCTTAAATCTGCCCCCGTGTCTTCATCATACTGCATAGTACTAAGTTTGTTCCCAAGTATGCATAATTTAGAAGGATTGAACTTTTAAAGTTGTAGCTTTATAGAGCCAACCAACCTCCGGAGCAGCATAAGCACGAAATGTATAAATCGGTCAGTCCGTAACGGCAAAAAAACAACAAAAAAAACGGCAACTGGTGTTAGGAATATAACTCCTGCCACTGGCATGGAAGCCGAATGCACTGCGGACTGAGCAACAGACCCAGCATGCAGGAACGGGAGGAGCAGAAGCAGGAGGTGTGAGAAAGCGTGAGTAGCAGAGAGGGGTGGAAAGAGCAAGAAAGAGAGGAGCAGGAACAGGTGGTATTGAAAGAGCGTGCAGAACGAGGAGGAGTGGGAAGGGTAGGAATGCACACTTCCCCTCTTTCGGCGACCCAAAAAATTGAGTGCAAAGGGTTTGCATATGGCTGGTGCTGTAGGGAAGTGCGAATAGCGTCACAAACAGGCACTGGTGTAACGTAATCTGTTTTCATACAAAACCCTGCCCGGCACTGAAAAACTACGGGCCATTCTGCCCGAGGCACCGCTCGAACTAAGAGCACCACCCACCCTATGAAGCTAGTGCACTGAAAAGCATTTGGCAGAATAACCAAACATGCAGTCAGTTGTTTTAAAGGGATACTGAACCGAAATTTCGAGCTCACTAAACAAGGCCGGGCAGATAGGCAGGAAGCTGAAAAACCAAAAAATATCACTCATACGGCGATATATTTAACGGATCGCCGTATTTTTTGGAAAAGATGTGCGCGACTGAACCCGGCCGACAAGGCCAAAGAGTCAAGGCAAGTCACGATTCCCATTCTCTCTCCTCCTTGCCACGTCCCGTCAAGCTGGTGAACCGAAGCGAGGAGGAGTGAAGTGGGGCCGCTTCTCCTCATTCTCAAATTCTCCCAAAGGACAGTTACGTCAAAGAACTCGCTTGATCGCGAACTTCTTTTCCAAAAGTAAAGCCATCCGTTTGAGGTATAGATGTACGAGTGATGTTTTGGAGTTTGTAGCGTCCCGTTCAACACTTCTGCAGCCTTAATTTGCGAAATCCAAATTTCAGTTCAGTATCCCTTTAATGAGAAGCTTTAGGATTACTTTCAGTTTGTAAAGCATGCTGTTATTATCGACTTGACTAAGTGGTAATCCCTATATTTTGTCGCAATGAGCCAAGTATATTGTTTATACTGAATTTCCTGAAGCAAAAGCACACCTCTTTCAGGAAGGACACCGGTATCACTACACAAGCAGGCACTTCACAGAATCTGAGAATACTGGGAGGGCAAAAAAAGTGCTAGCAATCATGCTAGAGTAATTTCCAATAGACCTCCTTTTACCAGTTTTGCATAAAGACTCCCTTTGAAGAGCTCGACATATTCCCAAAAAGAAGCTGAATACATACCGTGAACATCTTTGTTTTCCCCAGCAACTTTAACTTCCCCAAATACCTCCCTATAAAGCTCAGCCTAAAGAAAAAAGGACCATCTGCTTCCTCAGATTTTACTACTTTTTTCCACCCCGAAAATACTCTGCCCGTGCACAAACCAGTACAAAAACATCTACAGCGACGTCCCAGTTTTTCCAAAATTCTTCTTCCGCCACCACTCCACAAACATTTTTCCACCCACCTCGTAGTTCTTGAGGGTCTTGCTGAACAGACGGGGGTCCGAGTCGCGCACCTTGAGAACCCTCAGCATCACGAAGAGCAGGTGCACGCAGAGTGGCCCCTTGCCGCAGGTGCACGTCTGCATCGACGCAAGAGTGACAACAGGGGCATTGCGTGAGACACGACACTACAGCCGCCGCCTTTTACCAGCACACACTCAGGCCCGAGTTTACAGAGGTTACGATGTACGCACCCCAGTTCGCAGCACTAGGCACTTGTGGCCTACCTGGCCAGACAGAGCACACCTGAGTGCAGACAAGAGCAAGCTATGATGCTTCATGGCGAGGTGTGCTCGAGTGTTCTATACCGCGGTAGAGTACATGCCGAGACACAGGTGCATTTCGAGTGTGTACGCAATCAGGCACCAGTGCCTGATGGCAGGCTGTATTCAAGCATAAGATTCCATGCGTAAAGTACAAAGGAAAATAAATAACAGCCCACTACGTCATGCATGGATGTTAGTGAAGAGAGCTTGATCGCTTCAAAGGGAAGCTAACTCGAATAAAATTTGTACCCCGCGCCCTTCGGCAGAGTAGAAATCACTCGCAAAACGTGCCCAAAAAGCACACACACACAAAAAAAAAATACACGTCCAAAACTTAACGTACGAAAACCGAAAGTGTTTAGGTGGTGCCAGTGTTCTTTCGTCGATTTAAGGCACCTGGTCGTAAGCAGCCTAAAGTGTGTGAACCAGCCTTCGAAACAATCGTGGCACCAGAAGCGCCATTTCTCTGCGACGGTACCCGACCTGTGGTCCGACGACGACCTTGAACCGATGGTCCGGCTGGTCGGCGGCCACCAGGAAGGAGCGCGGACCCGGCTGGCAGAGCAGGTAGAGCCTGGCGCCCCTGCGGACCTGCAGCACCCTCCGGCGGATCGACTCCATCACTCCGGGAGGGTACTCCGGTGCCGGAGACGGGCTGCGGCGGCGCGCGGGTGAAGAGCCACGCTGCGTTTGGGAAGGAGAATGCCCCCTTTTTTGGCGACTGCCCAGCATATGTCACCTGCTGGTACGCACGTAACAGACGATTTTGGCTACACCTTGCTTCACCACGAGTCAAAGTGGAGCAGACGCTACAAGGCGATGGAGACCAATAGGGCAGTGCCAAAGGTGCAACATTGTGGCGTTTGTGTTCTTTTGTGCATCTGTTATCACCAAATAGACCAATCGAGCTTATTTCGCTTTAACCCTTTGAGTGCCATGCCTGAGTACATTCAAGCACAATCTTGCATGGTCTCAGTTCCGGTACTCCCTGCCCTTCTGAACAGGGCGGTCATTTTGTTTTTGTGTAGCAGAATGCATGAGCAAGTGAGAAAAACAATGTTTTGTCTTGTGAAGTATCTTTTTGATGGCACGCACAATTTTTCTTTTGTTTAGGTGACTTCTCTTTTGGTATGCTCCTCCGTTGTTACAGAATGGCAAATCTATGTTGTTCAACCTCCTGCCTTATTACAAACACGGAGGTCTAGAAATTATTAATGAAACCAGTATTCAATGACAGTGAAAACAGGGAAGTTAGTTTCGAAATCAACAAGGGCCAAGTAAGGCTGCTCAAAAGATTGACCTCAGGGTTTGAGGTTCAGGAGCCACTGCATAGTACCATGTCTTGAAAAGTACAGTACAATATGAGATATATGTTATGGGTTGAAGGCATGCAGATATCAATTAACTATTTCCCATAAAATAGTGTGTCTTCTACAAATATTTTTCACATGGCGTGCTACAGTGTTAACGAGATCAGAAATTGTAGTAGGTACGTGGGGAAGCAAGCCCAGCATTTAAAAGGTTTTAAGTCTGAGTCTGTGTTTATACATCTTCTAGCCTTTGAATGGGCTCTGACTTATGGTGGAGGCAAAAAAAAGTATACAGTCAATTAATTCTACCAACACGGTTGGCCGATAACAAGTGGGTGCTCTGCTTCCCGTATTATGTGTATGTTTGTGTGTCGCACGAGGTTGTAAAAATATTTTTATTTAAACATTGAGGCATTTTGCATTTCACTACAAGTGTCAAGAAAGTAGCAGACCTACCGCCCTCACAAACAGTGAGCACATAAAGTGTTAAAGAGACGAGGCATGAAAGTTTCCTCACCGTGATGCACAGCCACCACTTAGAAACCACACCTCCTATGTTCCACATCACCGTCCAGCGGCGTTCTACCGAGTTGCTATGTCGGTGCTGTAAGCACCAGTCCTCAAAATTTGTTGTCGTAAAATGCAGCCCAACCTTCTGTTATGCAAATGAGTGGCATCTTTCCGAAAATCGTAGCTGGATTGCAAGAGGAATTGTTCCGGGTGCCATCACGCGCACACCGACCACGTCTTGTCTTGATGCGTCTGTCGTACCTGTTCCATTGTCCTCCGCACATAAAGCTAGCTCTAGTTTGAATAGTTATGACATCTCAAGGTATTGCAAATCTTCCTCCGTTTTGCACAGCTGCTGACATATAAATACTTTTGTTGCTATCGAGCTTTTTCTTTTAATCTTTTTTTGGTTATTCATCTTTACTATCGCACTATCATAGAGCAGGGCTGACTTGTGTGGAAATGTCTTCCACATGAAAGGATGACACACCGTGATAACCAAAAGCCAAAACTGTTGTTTTCATTGTTCACACTCATATTAAGATCAGAGCACATGAGCCGCCATGGACCATACCCTAAACGATCAGCTGCACAGCTGCCTTGAAAAGCAAATAATAAATACTTTGATTTATACAACTCTTCTAAAGCGTTTACTCAAATCTAATGGGAGCTTTTGTATTAATTTTTGTTACCTAATGTTGCCCTCGCGTTATAATCGAGTAGCCGCGAAATCGGTCACAACAATGCCCTCCATTTTGAAACGAATATGATTTTCGGAGTTTGAGCGGTTTTTCAACCTCATGCTGGCAACATATACCTATATGGCTGCTTAAAATAAAATCCATCAAATCCAAACTCAAATTTATCAAAACGTTGTTAAACCTGTCGTTCTTTCTTCTGGTCATTCTGGCAGATTTGTTAGACCTCATGTTTTGACTTTCGCGCTTCTGCGACGACCGACCTTTCGCGTTTCTGTGGAGCCCCATATTTTTGCACCGGACCAATGGCAGCGCGACGTGCGCAATGTGATGCCAGATTCATGAACGAAGCAATTTTGTTGGCCAAAGAGCTGGGAAACTCCGCCGCTGCTCGGCAGCTGGACGTGAACAAATCTACAATTCGCGGATAGGGGCACCAGTGGGATGTGCTTTTCAGACGTGAACCAAACCGGAAAGTCTTCCGTGGACCTCATTGTGGACTTCACTGCGATTTGGTTTGTCACTGGTGAGGGTCGGACTTTGATACCTTTGGGAAAATTCAAGCAAGGGTGTGCTTTAAAAATTGCTCCCGCATGGCATGCTTCTTTCCGCCTTTAAGAAGAGTTTGATAGTGAATGCCTCCTTGGTGCAAATGATGACTAGTAGCTTTGGCACATGGGCTAGTTGGTAGTTAATTTTAACGAAAGACATCATCTGGGAAGAGGACAGCGAGAACTCCACCTCTGTTGGCGACGACGACAACAAGTGATGGGAAAATCATTCCCCCCCCCCCAAATGGCCAGTGTTGGCCACCATCTTTTTAAAATCAAAGTACCCTTTTATTCCTCCCTCTTTCTCGCGTTGCAATCGTGGTTTTATTTTTTTTTACGACGTGTAATGAAAGTTTGTCCCTCACGTTAGAATCGTGGTCGCGCTAGAATCAAGTAAATGCGGTAAGCTGTAGCGGGGGCCATTACCACGTCGGCAGAACTCGGATTTCCCGTCCCTCCGTGCCATTCGCTATGCGAGCCATCTTTTTGTTCCACAAACGCAACACCAGTTAACATGGGTTGGGCTATTCTCCGTGACACAACTGTGGCCATCCTTCGGTAGATGCATAGCAGACGTAGCGGACCACGTCCCAGCGACACAACTCCCGCCAGAGTGCGAGTGAACAAAATCGCGGCACCGCCGTGCTTCCGCCGACAAAGCAGGCGCAATGCCGGCGCGGTTAACACCCCGGTTCCGCCTCCAACGCACGAGGTCGAGTCCGACCAGAGCTCACCGATCGAGACGGGGGCGTCGTCGAGCGGTGGCGCGAGGTTCTCGTCTTCGTCGTTCGTTGGTCCGGACTCCCCGCGGCGGGCGGGGCCTCCGGAGTTTCGGGGGGTCGGACGGGTGGGGGAGGGGGCGAAGGCTTGCGGCTGGGCCTCTTCACGGCGGGGAGTACCGCGGTAGCCCCCGGAGTGTCCCCAAGGGCAAGCTCGCCCCTCTCCTGTTTCTTGGCATCCTGTAGAACAACGCCGGCCGGCCGGTGCCAAGGTAAAGAAGTTTGTTCGCCTCCTCGCAGGAAACGAAAACAAGGAAAATCGTGTACCCCTCTAGCACGCTAAAAGCTACGCTTCGGAAGTCCGACGGAGATGCGTTCCAGACACCGTACCTCTACATCAAGCTTTCTAAGGTGCTTCTTATTCCCTCACCAAAGCTGCTCTTCGGCAAAACCTGGCAACGACCTGGCAACGGTCTTGGCGCTCACATGCATTGAGCGCCGATCACAGCTGTGCTCACGCAGTCTTCGCTTCTTCGGAAATGCCAAAAAAAGTTGTCCCCGAGTATGGGTCGACTTAGAGCCACTAAATAAGCTACGCTTCAGAGCTACGATGATTCAGCCATCTTGGTGCTTAAAATCGTGGTTGGAAGTTATCCGAAATCACAAGAAACGCTTTTCCGTCCACCAGAAATGTTAAAAAAACCGTTCGCAACATATCGAAACGATATCACCTGAGCTTCATAACACCGCATCTAAAGCTGAGGAAGTCACATTTTTTACTTGTGATGAATGACAGTTACGTCTGCTCTACACTAAGTACCAAGATGGCGGCGCCAACCAGCAGACCGGGGAACGAAGTGCCGATACTTTAAACTTAGCTCATTTAGTGGCTCTAGATCAACTCTTAAAAGAAGAGATAGCATAAAAGAAGACAATAAAGAAAATGTGAATGATTATAGCTTGCGAACATACAGAAAGAGGTGAAACCGAATCTGCTGAACACAGCCAGGGAGCCTACCAAAATGATGTTTTCAAATTCCGCCTTTTCCAGGCTTTCCCGGACTATTTTATCAAAGTTTCTTTGTTGAACCCCAAGTAGTGTGTCTGAAGTGCAGTTTCTCTGTATAAAACAATGTTGTTTTATACAAGGCAGTGGCCAAGTGCCGGATCGCATTGCCTTGTTAGTTTTCCGAATAAATGTCCCATTTTAAACCACCGGGAAAATGTATTGGTGCGAACGCAAGTTCTTTTTGGTGTCCGCGTTTAAAAGAGGAGGCGATTCGCATTCAGTCAAGACTTCTAGTTTCCGAGCAGACATTTGCGTTTGCATGCCAGCTCAGTCGCACGTATTCCGTGTCACATCAGACACGCGCCGTCTGCAATCGCTCAGAAAAAGTAAACTTAAAATTTCCGGCGGAAATTCTCCAACAATTCCTGGTTTTCCCGTTTTCCAGGTTGGCGGACACCCCGACAACGACGACGACGTCTCTCCCGGCAATGGCGGTGTGAAGAGACCCACCGGAATGCCGTGGGCTTCGGCGTCGTCTGCCTCGGCGGCTGCCTCGTGCCTCACGGCCAGCGGCGTCCTGCGCCCCTGGGTGGCCTGGGCGGGCTTACGCAGCGCATGGAGCCGCTCCTTTATCTGCCGCACCGACACCGGGTACACCTGCTGCAGACGGTCCAGCTGGGCTGCCATCCTCTTCTCACGGCTCCTGGACCAAGCGGGGTCGGAGAACCAGCTCAGCAAATATGAGTAGAGTAGATTGTTGGGCTAGTTGGTTTTGGAATTTGGAGTACATTTTAGCGCTCAAAAAACAGGGACGAAGAAGCGCACAGTGCTGTCTGTTTCTCGCCTCTTTGTCCCTGTTTTTTGAGCGCTAAAATGTACTCCAAACAGCAAATATGCAGGCGGTATACGTTGGTTTTGTGCAAGGCTGAAGAAAAACTAACTAAAGGCACCTGGGTACCTGCAATGGGTCCTGTTCAAACGTCGCATTGCGGTGCTCGCAATATGTTGCATCAGTGCAATCTAAACTCTTTTTTTATGTGCATATTGCAATTTGTGTCTACAAAAACCCAAAGCCTTTTGTATTTGATTTAGATGTTGATTAATTGAAAATGCGTCTACCGAGGTGTTAAAACGTAAAATGATTATAAAATACACAATTTATTTTTGATTTGGGCTCAACAACACTGCCACTTGTTGTCACCTCCTCAACTTTTGCAGTGCAGAGAATCACATTACTGATGAGCCAATATCCCACATAGAAAATTTAATTATTGGTCAGTAACTGCAGCCTACTTCAATTTCATAGAATATAGCAACAGCTCCTAGCAATTAACCGAGTTTAAAGTGACCAAACATCCCAACTTAGGCGGGTCAGGTTCCGCTTTTCTGGCCACAGTTCCTGTCCCGCCAGCATGCTTGTGTGAGGGCATTTCGTCCCGCTTTGGCTGCCTCGAACCCCGAATAGATAAAAGAGGCTGTTAAACGAAAGTATAGCACCAGTGAGAGGTTGCTTTCCCTGATGAAGTTACAAAATATGCTTGGCAGAGAAGATGATGAAGCTGAAAGTTAATTTGCATATGACATCTGAATGGTACTATGGACACAGTGTTTACAAAAATATAAACTACACTAAAGAAATATTAAAAAAAATGTAGTAGATGTGCATGCCAAACAATATGCAAATTGCAAGGAAAACAAATGTGCACAGTACCTACAAAATAACAAGAAGATGTGATTTGTTACCAAAATTTAAACTTTTCAAGTCTCACGACACAACAATCCCCACCCCCACAAATGTGTGTTTCGCTTTGGGGCCCGAGCAGCATGTTCAGATTAACCAAGTTGTTGTTTTTTGTGAGATACAAACTGCAGTTTCAACGAACGCAGCTGTAACAGCAGCTAGATACATTTTTGGGAAATGTAACTATTTGTACCCTAAGAGCAACTTTTAAAGCTCTGGTTTTATCTATTGCCCTATCAAGACCAATAGTAAAATGCCACACACGGAAATCTTTTTAAAAAAACAACGGTACAGTGAATTATAAAATTACTTTTTTTTTTTTTAAGTGGCTTTTTTTTTGGCATTTACAAGGCCTCAGTATATGACCCCATTTTTTTTCCAAACATTTCAATACATACTTTTTAAACAGAACCCGCAAACACTAGTGGCGGTTACCAAAACCGAAAAAAAAATTAAAGGGGAAAAGTTATACTTTGCAAAAAGCTCGAGCGTTTCTTTTTTTTTTTTTTTTGTAACCATACTCGGATAAGCAACGTTGTCGTTTCGTGCACATGAGGAAGAGAAAAAAAAGTAGATTTTATACTCCTTCAAATAGCGTTACAAAACTTCTACAGTTTTCTCCCGGCAAACAAACCCTAAAACTACCGTATTTTCCGGACTATAGTCCGCAGAGGCAAATTAGGGGTCAAAAATGAAAGTTTTTGCTTAGATAGTCCGCACCCGCTGCATAGTCCGCACCCAGTGCATAGTCCGCACCTGGTGCTTAGTCGACACGAAATTCTTCTCATATGCGGCAAACCTTGACATACGTATGTTTTCTTAGCTCACAAAAAAAGCCTATAATATACATGAATTATCAATAACATACTCTTTTATTCAAAAAAATCCGTCCCGTCTCGTCATAATCAACGATATTGAAAAACATAATTCCTGTATAGTCCGCACGCGTATAGTCCGCACAGCCAGAAATTTCAACTTTTAAACATGTATAGTCCGCGGACTATAGCCCAGAAAATATGGTACATTAAATATATATATATATATACAGGGTGTTTTTTTTTAAGCTTAACAGATTTGTTTAAAAAAAGCCGTGAAAGCTACACTTACCCGCTTATGGAGGTAAGTTATACGGTCAGGGGGACATATTATAGGGGGCTAATCGTAACGATCAGTCAGCTAATTAATTAAAATTTGTTAATTAACTTTTTAATTAATGAAAATAGACATATGGTTCCAATTAGAAACTTGCTCAGCGTCATCGAAAACCACTAAATCAGTCATTTTCAGAAGGACTTTGAGCGCGTGAAAAGCGTAGTAGTGCACTAAAGTTACCGCTCTTTGAGCAGGTACAAAGCTAGTGGTTGTGATAAGGCGCCTGCGCGATTTTTCCGTCTCTTATCTAGCCCCAGCCTTGTACCTGCTCCACGAGTGGTAGCTTTGGTACAATACTACGCTTCTCACACGCTCAAAGTCTTTCAGAAAATGACTGATTTAGTGACTTTCGATGACGCTGAGCAAGTTTCTAATTGGAACCATATGTCTATTTTCATTAATTAAAAAGTTAATTAACGAATTTTAATTAATTAGACGACTGATCGTTATGATTAGCCCCCTATTATATGTCCCCCTGGCCGTATAACTCACCTCCACAAGCGGCATAAGTGTAACTTTCACGGCTTTTTTTTAAACAAATCTGTTAAGCTTAAAAAAAAACACCCTGTATATTGTGAAACCAGATGCAGATGAACAGCATGTTTGGCCTTTACCTTCCCCTCCCCGTGCAACGACAAATACAGTCGAGCTGAGTAACAAAGATCCACGGGGATTTGTGCAACCAAAGCGTCTACCCAAGCCGCCAAAAGTTAGACAGCAAGCAAACGAGAAACAGGAGCCCGTGGGCGCCGCGCCGCGCCTGCACTCTTTTTACTAACGAAGCAACGGTCGTGGGTACTTTCTTCAATCTTTCCATTCACGAGCCGAACTGCGGCGCCAAGTGAGCAAATCGGCATTCCAAAGGCAGCTGCTGCACATTCACCACGACAGGAGAGAGTGACTTTGTACAGATTTTTACGTCCGTCGAATACTGCAAAGTTGCACATAAAAAACTTTCCGTCCTTTAACAATAAAATAAAAAATAAAAATAAAAAACCACAGGTGTCTCGTCTACCCCATCCTCATTGTGTCACATTTCCTCATTTTCCCCTCTCCTCACCTGACGTATGGACCTCCTTGATGCCATAAAAAAAAAGTAATTGTATTGCGCATCTGTTCAGACAGCAAGAAGTTAGTCAGCCCCAATGGCTGTCCGGTGTTTCAGCTGTACATCAGAAATTTAGCCATAGCAGTACAAACGCTAGCCTGGGGTCTACGACGTGCATCACGCAGTGGTGATACGCGACCGCACGCTGCTCGTCCAGATCAAAACAGGCAGGAGTGGTGATTGAACCCGGAATACCCGGGTTAGGCAGCAAACTTTCACTCCACATGCTCAGAGCTGCAGTATGCTAATGCACTCGGCTGCCGATGCCGTTCTGAAGCCCGCCTTATAAAGGATGATACAAACCGACGATTGGGAGCACCGTGGATGGGTTGTATAAAAATCAAACTTAATAATTAATTGTTAGAATAAACATGCGCTTGAATCCCGCCTATAAATGCACCACTTTCAATTCCAACTTGCGCCTTTAACACCTGTTGGCACAGTTACTTCCTGCAAATTGGCACACGGGAGGTAAAACCATACGTGCTAACCGAAGGACACCGGTGAAGCCAACTTCCAACTCATTAAATAATGATGTACATGATCTGGGGAGTGGGATTCTCTTCCACGTTTTGAAAACGAGCTTGCCCGGAAGGAGAATAAATCAGACTCAAACCTTACGCGCACAGAGGCGACACGACGCCCCCGGATCACGTCATCGGCTTTTTCCGCATACTTCTCGCTCGTATCGCGACGTTTCTGTCGTTCCTGCCGTCTGCTTCTAACAATAGGCCAGGTGCTCGCGTCGGAGCCCCAAAAAGGAACTTGTGTTCTAATGTACGAGGCTAAAAAAAGAAGTTGGCGTCAATAGCTCCGCTCGGAGACCGGCAAGCCAAATGCTAACTTACAGCTGCCGCCGTCTCCGGACCCGAGCTAACATTCACCAAGGTCACTTTGCATAAATACCAACAATCCCGCCACACAATGGCGCAGCACTCGCGCGGCATTAGAATAAAGCCCTTTACGATCGGGCCTCTGCTGACCCAACGCCAGAGAGAGTTTCTCAAGGATGTCTGTGTGCCCCCAAAACAGAACTGGTTGCTGCTAGGTCAAAGCCCCAGTCTGCGCCTGCGGGCCTCCAAAGCTCACAGGAACGGCTTGTTTAATCTCTCCTCTGGCAAACTGGTTGTGCTGGAGCTAAGTGGCTACGGTACAAATTTCAATGCAGAGTCGTTTGTTTCAACATTGGGGCTTATTAACGTGATGTGGCCCTCCCTTCCTAACGGATTATTTCCGTAAGAGCGGCAGAGGTGACGTTTAACATTCAGCTACCAACTTACACAAAGCAAAAAAATGTTCAAAGGTCGTAAAACATAAAATGAGACACAGCTGCGCAACGTTTGCTGCCTACGATTGCAGCAGCAATGGGATGAAGACATTGAAAGTTGCTTCAAGGATTGCTTAAGGGGCATCGACCCTGCCGAAATACGGAGAAAAGCTCGGCCCGGCGACCTGTAGCACAGACTCTTTGGCAGCATCGGTTGACAGGAATGTCCATTTTCCTTCGGATCCTGCCTGTGGCCTACAGATTGTTACCAAGTGAATTTGTGATGGAACAGACTAACTCGTAGCCTGAACAGCGAGGGTAAACAAGGGTGAACAAATATAAATAATTTTGAAAACAATCTTCCGACGTGGAAGGGACACAACCGCAACCACCAACGTTGGCAAAAGCTTCGCGACATCAGACATACCTTCTAC